CTAGAAATACAGCCTTGAAATGTAGTTGAAAAAGTGGTCATAAGCATCCAGACTATTACACAGATGTCTAAAAAACTTCCTCTGCTCAACCAAATATAGTTATAGCCAAGACGGCTTTTCACTGGCTAATGCTTTCTAGGGTATGATTCAGTGAGAGGATGACGTGAGGTGCCACTTGAAGAAATGAGTTTTTTAGCCTATGAGCAAAGGGGATTATCTTGTTGAAGTGGGAAGGACATTCCAGCCGTGTTGATAAAGGAGAAAGAGGTGAATTTGCAAGCATCATGATGCAGGTCACAGGTTGGTATGCAGGATTGGCAATGGCCTGTAGGTGTTGGGTTTTGCAGTCTTATACTGCTTGTCAGCATCGTTGAATTTGAACGACTGAACAGCCACAGGAAACCACTGGAGGTAGCAAAGGATGATTTGATGTAGGAAAATTTTGGGAGGCTGACGACAAGCAAGACAGCAAAGTTTTGGACGAGCCACTGGGGCTGAAGTGAATATTTGGAGAGCTGAGCGGGGACTGTGTTTCGATAGTTGAGACAGGAGGGGATTTCAAGAGTAACCATACATACATTTTAGAAGGTGGAAAAACATAGCTGCCTCAGACACCATGGATTAAAGGTAGAAATGTGTGTTCGGAGAGAATGCGAAGCAAATTTTAGACGTGGCGCACTGTATACAAAGTTAACAGAAAGAAACAAATTTGCACTAGGTGGTGCAAAAGATCTATGTAAATTTAAAATTCATGCATATCTATAAATCTGCTTTATAACCATACAGAGACATGAAAACAGAAAGCGACTGCAGCGAATAACAGGCAGAATCATGTTTCTGGTGAGTCAGACAGAAGTTGAGCTCAACAAAAACGTACTGACACACGGTCGGTGCGTACATCCGAAAGCTAGCTCACAGCTGGTGTCTGAACAGTTGGTAGGCTACATTGACTGTCTGGGGGCAAATAAACACAAATGGTCCAGCTGCCAAATCCACATGAGTAACACAAGGCAACAATTCCCTTTCCTTTTCTGTCGGATGATGCAAAAAGTCTGTTGAACCCAATCAAGCGTGAGTATGCTTCCTTTTATTTGATAGGACAGGTGAAGACAGACAAGTACGGGGGCAGAGAGAGAGTGGACGATATGCAGAAAAGGGCCGCAGGTTGGAATCGAACCTGGGCGGATGCAGTAAGGACTCAGCCTACATGAGGTGTGAGCTCTGCCAAGTGAGCTACCGTGGCCTTGCAGTCAGCGGTAAATGTGAAAAGGTGAAAATTGATGTGTGAAGAATGTAAAGTGCATGCAAGAGTTCCAACTCTAACTTAATTTGTCCATGGAAAGTTAGAAAAATGGTTGTGGTGGGTGTTTCAGGCAAAAAGAACGGGTTGACATCACAGCATCTTATAGACACATATATCTATGTATCTTTTCATCCATGTTAAGACTCCATGTAGAGGTCTGGTGAGAAATCAAGCTGCAGAATCAGGTAAAATCTAGAAAACAAGCAAACAGCTCATTTGAGGACCGGTCCATGGCACTTTTGCAGATCCTTCTTTGAGTCAATTTTCTCGTAACAGTGTTGTTGATTATTGTTTGCATGATGAAGATGATAAAGACAAGAAATGAGAAAAATGTTATTTTCAAATTTAAAAACATGAGGTCAAGTGTTTTTTCTTCTTTGAGAATCTTGTTGTTGTTTGATGTGTTTTCGACCATTTTCACGATGTTGAAAGTTACCAGATGTTGTTATTGAAGTGAGATCAGCAGAGCAGTGACCCTTTTGGTTTCTTGTCATCTGGAGTAACTGTTTGTTTTTTTACTAAACTCTAATACTGATTCAACGATATGTATGCAGACTGCTTGTATTTTTTTGGATAAGTGAACATGTAAATGCCATGCCAAATAAACAAACTGTTTAATGTACTGTTTATTACAACAGCCCAGTGACCAATAACTATAACACTTTGTATAATAAATAAAAGCAATGAAATGACTGTTTGACAGCCTTCTCAGCGTGTGCTGTGGGAGGAAAGGCACTTTAACAGTGTGAGGTCTGGGTCAGATATCACGACTCGCCCACAGCTGATTACACCTGCCCAAACAGATGTTATAGCCACGACTCTTTTTAGTCTCATCATCGGTCGGCACGACCTGCACGTCTGAGTATTAGCAGTTAAAAAAATAAATCCTTTCAGTTATTCTGCTGACTAGTATATTCTGTGCTGACTCAAATAAGAAAAAAAAAGGCAAATACTTGGAATGTCTTCACTCTACAAAGCTTAACACTGAATACAAGAATTCAGTCATCTTCTTGAAGCACAGTCATTTCTTTAAATGTACTGAAGATGTCTGCAATAGCTGCTGTAAGAGCCTCTCACCAATTATTGCCTCGCAGTAAAGACAAGCAGTGATATAGCATCGGCAATCGGAGTCCAATCTCTTCAAAATGTGCTGGAAGGGCAATTTTAGTGTAATAAAAAAATATGAGGTTGATTAATCTGAAATTCAATACCAATTACAATAACATTAAAAAATCCTCTGGGGACTCAGCAACACTGTGCTTCTCTGAAACCTGGCACATGCAGCTGCAGAGAAAAATATGAAATTGCCTTGATAATATATTAAGTGTGACACACTTGCTTTGCAGTTACAGTGTTATAAAAGCAACGCAGGCTGGAGTAATAAAGCTTGAATCATGACTTATGCGTTATCTGTGGAAGATTTGTAACCAATCGCATATATTTCATTTTTAAACAATGCAATCTGAGCCACGGTGGGAGAGCCGGCTCCAGCAAATTTCTAGAGTGATCAAATAGACTTTTCAATATCACTTGAAGAAAATAAGAATGTACGAATGCAATATAGGTTATGTGATAGCTAATGCTTTTTCATTCCTAAATATGGAGAGATCAAATTCACGATCGATTCGAAGCGAGGCTGGAGAAAAGAGGGAAATACATTACTTCTAATCGGCAACCTTGCAGTGATGCTGCCTCCCCCCTTTTTCCTCTCTGTCTGACAGAGCGTTTCCCCAGAGCCTCAGCTCAAACTGCAGAACCGTTCTGTGTGGCAACTGTTGAACAAAATGGACTCTCACAAGGAGGAGGGAAAAATCCCACAGGAAAAGAGAGAGAAAGGGGAAAAAAATCAATGCAAGGAAGGGATTTTAAAATAGGAAGAAGCCGAGGGTCTGGGAAGAAAAAAAAAGGAAAACAGGAGAGAAGAAAAGTGAGGAAAGAGGAGACACACTGAGAGGAAGAGGGAAATAAAGAAAGGGAGGATTGAGGTAGAATGAAACAATCAATAACAGAAAAGCATTTGAAAGCACTGTGCCCTAATACTGCTTTTGATCCAAAGACATTCATGTATGCATGTGAATGTCATATTCACAGAAAAAAGAAACAGTCTGTTTTGAGCCCCACAGTAAGTGTTGCTGTCTGGATGGTTGCAGTGGAGGCTGCGAGAGAGACTGAGCTAATGAGCACACTGGGAGAATCTGCCTTGTTGTTCTGTTGAGTGTTATTTCGAAGATATTGCAACCGAGAGACTGGGGCGGGAAGTTAACTCAAGCTGTCAAAAAATCTTTCAATCTGGGTTAATTGCTCAGGGAGAGGGAGCCTCATGATCATCATAAGAGATGTTTTTTTTTTAATAACATCTCCACAAATGTAACTGTTACTTAATTTGAGCTGGAACGTATTTTCATTTGTTTACACGGCATTTCCACAGTTGCTGAATCCGTCTGCTCTGTTGCTCTTTGTTTTTCGCTCAAGCTGACCTCTGATTACCTGCAGTTCGGTCTGTCCGAGTTCAAATCTGTTGAGTCATGCACCTTATCTTAGTTCCTTACTAGTTTCTTGTTTCAGTCGCCTCCAGATCCATTCTTGGATTCTTGTTTTGTAGTATGCATTAATGCTGTAAGATAATGTAGAAAATCACTCTCGGTTGTTAGAATCTTCACATCGCACTCATCTCGGGTGGTGTTTAAGCTGGTGTGTGGCTGTTTGTGTCACAATAGTATCAGGCGGGAAACAGTTTCTACCATTGAGAGTCTGAATATGGACAGATAATACTATGAATCTATCAAATAGCACATCCATAATGCATCACAAATTAATTCCACGTTTAACACCCTCGGAGGTGTAGCTGAATTTTGTTGAGACCAGTAATTTGTCTCATCCTGGTATTTCCAGGGAATTCTCACAGAAATCAGCTTTTATTTTCCAGGAAAAATATCTGCTGAATATCATATGCACTAAAACATAGATGTCCTCCCCAGATTTCATTAATACTTCCATGTAACTATCATAGATACAGTCCGACCTTAAATGAATGTTATTATAGTGATATAACTGGCTCAACTTTCCATCTGGAGGAGTTTCTTCCAATTATATTTCAAGCTACAAAAATGCATTTTGCAGTTCACCTGTGTGGTAAAATATGTTTTCAATCAACAAATTTGAGTGAAAAAACTATAAAATAAGCTATGTGTAACTTATATGGAGACCTCCGACTCAAATCAGAGGAGTGGGGTTGATTGCTGACTCAACAGGTGGAACATTTACTACTGTCCATGAACAACCCTATTGTTCGTCCACTGAAATGGCTGCATGTAATGAATATTCAGCACTATAAAGATGGCCAGACTCTACAAATAACTGATGATCTGCAGTAAAACAGTGGATCAACTATTCTCTGTATGTTGTTTTCCACCTGGTAGTGTGTGTGTGTGTGTGTGTGTGTGTGTGTGTGTGCAATGTTTTTAAAATAATGGTGTGAAATCTCATATATAGTGATATAATCCCAGGAGGTAACAATTTGAACCTTTAACCCTAATTAACACACAGATGTAACCTTGAGAGAACATCCTTCCAGAAACTGGCGGGGGGCTTCACCCAAACTTCCTTTTATATAGTTTAGGTTGTGTTTTCTGTTGCAGACTGTTCATCTTCAGGCTGATGGCACAGTGTCAGGCAGCAGCAGAGAGGACACACTCACCAGGCCTGAGACTTCCTTCTGGGCACGCTCTGTCTCTTCCACTTGGAGTGAGGGGTCAGGTGGTAAATCAGCTGGCGGCAGATCTTGTTGGTGGACTTGAACGAGTCGGTCTCCTACAACACACACAAAGGACGAGTGATGGACAACAAGTATAAATCTAGTTCATGTGACAAATCAGAAACAAACAGTAGCTGTTCATGAATAAATGCAGCTAAACTGTCACAGAATCACTGGGGACAAAACAAGGCAAAAACTGTACATTTTCAATATGACAAAGTAGAAAAGGAGCTGTTTTTTTTCTTCAAAAGTGTAGATATCTACAAAGTAATGTATAATGCTGGATGCCTGATCTTGCTTTCTTTTGATTCAGATCTACTGATTTTCCACAGTCACAAACTGTTTTTTCTTGTCCTTTGAATAAAGCTGCTTCAAACATTTTCTGCATGGAAACAATTTTATTTCGCCTCGTCCTTGCTCCATGTGCACCCCACCCCCTCTCTCCTTTGCCATCCCCTTTCTCTCCTCCTCCTGAATGGGTTGTGCTGAGCAGGGTAAATCTAATTAATGGTACAACACGACAACAAGAAAGAGGCAATGTGGCGAGAGAGAAAAAAACACAAGGGCAATTTACCTTAAGGCGATTAACCATTCTTGCTGCCACTTCCTTTCTTGGGCGACAAACAAACATGCCTCGTACTTCAAAACATTCAGTGCTGCTGTTTCAGTCACTTGGATGACTGAACATGATGTTACAGCAGCACATACTGATTTGCATTATGAAAGTATTCTTAGAAAATGTGAGTCTGTGGTCTGGAAGAATCAACAAAGTCAATAAATATGCAGTACTGTAACTCTGTAAGCACTGCGAGACATTAATCACAGGTCTGAAAACCTGATACATCACAATATAACATACATTAAATTAATTGTCTGAAACTGATGACCACAAGCTTCAAAACATTCACAAATTATGTATCTTTTAACCCTCAATGTGTCCTTGAATATACAATCTAAATACATCTCAGTGTGGTGGAACATACAGGCCATAGAAGCAGCTGCCAGGCCTTAAATCCAGCACACTGCCTCTCTACATCCTCGTCACGTCTGACACAGTATCCTGCCACGGGTTGCCAACCAGTCAGGAGAACATTGCTGTCAGCTCCTCACTTTCCCTCCCTTCCTCCTGGGCTTTCCTCGGCAAAATAAACAGTGATAAGATTAGAGTTTCTTACAGGTGATTATTATCTGGAGTAAAAACTAGACCACAGTGACTTTATCTTAAGGCAAGCCATCTCTTCCTATAGGAGATAACTGCAGACTTTAGATAACTGTAATGGCTGCAGGGTCTGTGTTCTACAGCCACTCTGAGCGGCTTCGGTAGTGTCTTCACCCTCATACCCGAGTTTGAAGTGTAATTTGAATTTTAATACCTCTGATTTGTATGCCATGCTACAAGTGAATGAGTTGACACCCAGTCTGGATAAATCCTGATTTATATCTTAAGGGACCAGTGCTTTATTTTATTAGTCATATGAATCTGAACTTAATTCATATGTGTAATTAATGCGTTTGTCTTAATGGTGGAAAGTCATCATTTTGTGCATTCAGTTCATCCACTGAAAAAGTGGAAAAAGTGCTGTGTTTACAAATATTAACAAACTTTTTACAGCATCAACAATGAGTTATAATTTATATTCAGTTGCATATCTTTAGTCTGGTCTCCTGTCAATCAGTTTGAGAGAGACAGCAGATTATAATCCTTTGTTTTAAATTATGCTGTATGTGGTATATGACTGTACCTTCAGGGGCTGTACAAAAATTACTGGGGTGGTGAGTAGGGCTGAGCTGTGTGTTTCACTTTGTAAAAAGAGTTTTTCTTTACAGCAACTATTGCATCACGCTCCCCACGTGCCGAAACAACAAGACCTCCAAATTACAACAAAATACGTTGTTTGTCCAAGCCCTCTAGAAAACATTTTCTAACCTGACACCTCAAGCGGCTGGTCCAAAATCGTAACAATGAAGAATACATCTATTTTATGATGTGATGACTCCATCATTATGGTTTAGTTAGATTTAGGCACCAAATGGCTTCAGGATTTTGGTCAAAATGAATACTTTATTAAAGCTGGTTAAGGTTTTGGAACAATCATACTTAAAAAAATTAACAATGATGACTTTCTTCTTTGCTCCCATCATTATTACTGCAGTAATATAGTTAGCAAAGGAAGGCTGAAATAAGATAAGAATTTAGGGTTAAAACATTTTCATACATTCTCTGTTTCCCTTTCCCTGTGTAATCATTTTCATACGGTCCCTTACAAACAGTGAGAGGTCTTTGCAGCCTTGGACACAACATACTTCACAGCAGTCAGTGGACTCCAGCAGCACCAGCTTCTCCAGTTTGATCTCACTGGCCACCTGCCACCTGTCAGAGCTCTCGGAGTGCTCTCATTGTTAGTGCCAAAGCCATGCTGCACCACAAGCCTCTGTGCCATTGACCGTGGCCAACGGCCCTGTTGACCTCAGCATGGTGACCACTGAGCACCTGCCCACGGTTTCCAGCATAAGGCAACTAAGGCAGACAGTCTCATACACCTGCAGAGTCTGGAGAACAGCTACTAACTGTTTGCCATTGTGCTGAAAGAGCACAGGAGCAGCAGGGAGGACAGACCACATAGTGCCAGTGCAGTCAAATCCTGACCCAGTGCCTCCCCTTGGCCCTACTATTCATCCCTGACCTCAACCCACTCTAGAGTATGCAGGCGTCCCCTTTGCAGCTGAGGACTGATGGGCAGCTGTCATTTAATCCTCAAGATTGTCCTCCTAGAATGTGCTGTTATGATTTAAAATGATAATGCAAACATTTTTAAATCTTTATCTAATTAAGTTTATCCCATTGTTTTTGTTGTTGCTGCTACTGGTGACGTAAGTGAGTAAATCCCATTCCCTTGCGTGCACTTTTTTCAAGGAATAGTTGCAAGCAGTAGTCTTAGTGGTAGAATTGGTCCATTCGTAAGCAAACAAGATAAAACATGTTAATCAGTGAGCTTTAGAGGTGCCAATAGGTGGTACCGTTGGACAGAGTCAAGCCAGCTGTTTCCCTCTGTGTCCAGTCTTTGAGTTAAGCTAAGATAATCGGCTGCTGAAAGTAGGTTTATATTGATCATACACACATGAGACTAGTGTCTTCTTTTGTATGGAGCCGACCCCTGTTCCCCTTCAAAACACGATTCAGTCACTGAGCCTGTGAAAAGTATGCAGGATACCAAGATAATAAAAGTTAAAACGTTACCTTATGTTGAGGAGACACCAAGATGTCCATAGTGGTGCATTATGCTAATAGATAACACTTAAAATATAATTTCCGAGGCTTCCTAGCTTCTGCATTTGCTATAACACAAACTGACTGACTGTTCATTGTTATCACAGTAGCATGACAACAAATATGACACATTCACTTAGGCATGGCTAATAAATGCAGACATGTTGCAGCTTGCCTCTCTAGTTCATGCCCTGTTAATTAATGTTACGTCTTGAACAAAGAGCTGCTTTTATAATTCATGAATGTAACAGTTTCATACCCTTTTTGGACACTGCAGGTCCCGGGCGAGACTGAGCAGCAGCTCGTGGGAAATGGGGTCCACCAGGTTGAGGAAAGCTGCGTTCTTGTACAAAATGTCATTGAGAGACGTTCCCTGGAGTCCCAAATCCTGAGAGGGAAGGAAAAGAGAGGAAAATGAACTCGCACAGTGACCAAGAAATTCATAAATTAATGTTCAACAGCCATGTCTGAGCCATGATTAATTTAATATTCAAGTGACATTTTATGGATAGTTAAATGAAAATAGATTTTCAATGTTTATAAGCTTTGTTCATCATTCCCTTTCATCTTGGCCTCTTATCACACTACGGGCTGATAAGGTTTTGCCATCAGAGTCGTGTGTTAACACCCAGCTCAGCTGATAAGGGGTGGGGATGGTGTCTGTGTGCATATATATGTGTGTGTGTGTGTGTGTGTGTGTGTGTGTGTGTGTGTGTGTGTGAGGGGTGTTGGAAGTACAGTTTAAGTAAGCCAAGATAAAAGTGGTGTGGTCTTTTTTAAAAATATTACAGTTCACTCTCGAGTGAAGAGAAAAAGACTCCCTCCGGTTCCTCATTTGCAGGTTTCAGTTGTAGTTTTTCCCGCAGGATTTTCTATCATTTTCACTAAACACAACTCTAAACCATGTAAGGAAAACACTTTTTGATTCCAGTTAAATGCACTTCTTTCTTTCTACTTACTTCCATTTCTAATCTTTAGAATTCCTAAGTAGAATATTGTGTTTATGTGCAGAGCAGTTCAATAAAAACAGGAACCAGTACACATGCCCAGGGGTGGATGATATTTGAATCATCTTCAGGCTGTTTCTATTGCAGTGACAATGTAAATATATTGAAGCTGCATCTTCAGGTAATACTTCTAGTGCTGACGTGTCATTAGCAGCCGGTGTTTGAGACGTAACATCTTCAGACACATCAAATAGTCTCTGCAGCATGTGGCATCCACTGCCTTTTCAAGGAAGATGACAACACACAAACAAGAAAAAAACAAACAACAAACAGCAGGAAAGACACGGAACTGAGCAGATGAAACAAAATGATGAAAGGTTGGGAGTAAGAGGAAAGAGAGTCAAAGGAAATCTCTTCTTTTAAGGCATAAAGCTACATTTTTCTCCTAATCCATAAGACCTCATATATATACATTAGCAACATACCTGCTGCTACTGTATGAAAAGAACAAAACAAACATGTTTCAGGGGACCTGCATCCTCAGTGTGTTTTATATTATGTAAAACTGCATAACTAGAGCTTGTGGAGCTGAAGAGTAAATACTGTCAGCTGTATATGAACTGAGAAGCTTTTCAAATAGCAGGCTTGAGGTTGAAGCTGTATAAAACATGCTCTATATGCTCTGACAGCCGTAACACTTAGGGGCACAGTGAAAGCAAAGAGGAAAACTCCCATCAGCATTTTCTCCTCCTCCAGCTTTTGGGTTGATTTATTACAGCGGAGCTCTGTGGGATTCCCTGACAGTGGACTATCCTCCAGGCCAGCTCCCCCTTCAATAAACCTCATTTAGAGCAGACTGAGGATACCATACGTGTCCATAAATAGAAGCACAGAGGAATTTTTTAGATTGTTTAATGATGATAATGTTTGCGTTAAGCAGCTGAAGCATAAGATATGACTGCTTTTGTGCAGCTTTCTGGGGGATTCACGTCTGAAATGAAAAAAAAAAAAAACACACAGAGATCTGATCCTGTGGATTAATTTGACTGAATCCTAATCATAAAAGCATGAAATGTTTTCCTATTTGTCACTGACAGGATGCCCATGTACATGCCTGCGTGCCTTCAGAACCCACTACAAATGTCCTTGTGAAAGCTGCATATCTAATCTGACGTCTGCCTCGTCACAAAAAGTCTGAATAAAGCGATGAGCTCCAAATCGCAGAACATCATCCCACACATGCAGTTCATTAGAATCCAATTAAATATATTGCACACTGTGACAAATCCAGTCCCACAGTTTTCCATTTCGGGGTAAGAAACATGTGACAGCTGTCAGGTGACGGACCTTCTAACTGCAGTTTTGTTTACTTACTTTTAAGGATTAAATGTTCTTTACTGGACTGATAAAAGGCTGTGACCTTTTATGTAATCGTATCAAAATCCAAGGTGTAAAATGGAAACTGCATGGTTGTCATGTGAAAAAGTATACTGAAAAGTGTTTTTTACTCCGAAGACATAAATGCTTGGCCAGCAGCAACAATGCTTCAGCAACAAGGACAAGGTCAATATGTCAACTTAGTCATATGTGACAGGACATATGATGAACAGTTTCTTCTGGGGCACTCTAAAGGGCATTTTACTTACATTATTACTACAGTCAAATCTGTCCTTCAAATCAAAAATTGTACTTTAAGTCTCCAAAGTTCACTATTTGACTTACAATAAACACTAACATGAACTTCCAACATATTTTTCTGATATTTATGCTGTACAGGCCACATGAACAAAGTGCCAGAAGCTCATCTTATTTAATTAAATAGTTTGACATTTTGGGTAATATGTTAATTTGCTTTCTTGCTGAACGTTAGATGAGAAGATTATTATTATCATTATTTATGAAGCATCCAGTAGAAGCTTAGCTTAGCATAAAGACTGGAAACAGGGGAAAATTGCTAATCTGGCTGTGTCCAAGGGTAATAAAGTCCACCACCCAGCAGCTCACAAATTAACACATTCATTTCCCTTTTGTTCAACCTGTAAAAACAACTTCCTGTGTCATGTTGCCACTGTGAGAGCTCACTGTGTCCGACCAAGAAAATGTCCGGCATGGGACCCAAGTAAAGCCACAATTTAACTTACTTACACGTTTGGTTTTGTATAGATTAAAGTGACAATATATAACATAAAGGTGCTGGTAGGTGGATTTTAATCTTTTAAACAGAGCCAGGCTAGCTGTTTCCAGGGTGATGGCTGTAGCTTCATTTTTACCTTTAAGGCATGAAAGTGGTGTCAATCCTTTTTTTTAAACTCTTGACAAGAAAGCAAATAAGTGTCAAACTACTCCATTAATGTGGATGTGTGTCAAACTTGTATTTTATTCACTCATTTTTTGCCTTTATTTGACAGCATACAGAGAGTGAGGGTGAGGATAGATTTTAACCGGGGACATTAGCAGAGAAGTTATTTTCCTACGCATTCATATAACATCACATAAAAAAAATTTGGATGGATAATATGATCACATAAGCACCAATATCTGATAAGCAGTTTTGTATTGAGTTATTTAAAGTTGAATAAAATAAACAAATAAAATATGTGTGCTGTGGCAGCTAACCTTAGACTTCACAAAGGTCTTCATATGCTACAGAGAACACCTTAATTAGTGTCTTCTCCATCGCTGCACATTGGTTACTCAGTGTGCACTCTGTAGAGCGTAATTGATATGAGTATTTGCTGATTCTTTGTATACTAATGAATATCTAGAAGATCCCAACCTAATTAACTTAATGGCCCAGAAGGCAGATCTGCGATGGAGATAGAGTGGGGGCAGTGTTATTGGTTCCTCCTTGTAATGACTTCCTCAATGTGAAAGAAACATGTTCCAGCATCCATCATCTCAAGGTGATTATCTCCAGATCCATCCGTCTCTGAGAGGAAAAGCTGCTCTGCTGCTGGAGAACAACAACAGGAGATCTACTGTACTGCCAGTTTTGTTTTCAGTGTTGAAGTATTGTTAGTCAGACACTTGGCTTCAGCCCCAACAACATACAACAGTAGCTGCACTCTGGCATCACCTCAGTGAGAGATGGAGAGAGTATTCGTGCTTCGTGAGCAGTTTAAATGCCGAGCTACGGAGAAAGCTGCCCCTGCTCAGGACCAACAGATGTACAAGTTGATCTTTTTTTTTTCTTATAAGATATGACTGGCTGCAGGACTGCTTTAATAAACAGGGACATACACATTAAAGGAAGCTATGCATGAGTCATATCCCTCCTGCTTCACAAATAAGAAGCTTTACAGTGAAGTTTGAATTCACCACACACCTATCCTCAGTTAATGGTTTCTGTGCGGAGTAGAAGAGATGCCTACAAATCTGTCTACAGTTCAGACACCCATAGCTTCTCCTCAGCCTTTTTTCCTGCTTTAATATGCACACATCTGTATAATTTATTCTACGGCACCATACAGATGGGCAGGGAGTCTTCCTGACAGGGGGCCCCTCTTGATCAGAACTGCTTTTGTCTGAACTTCAGAACTGTTCTCCTTTGATCAACGTACAGCTACCAGAAGGCTGTGGAAAGCTCAAGCTGAGCTATTTTTTCCTTCTCTTTAGTTTAGATAGATGTTCAGAAAGTGAGGATTAGACCTGGAATGTGCAACAGATAAGAGTTAAAAGCAGGAAATAAACAGACCTTCCCTATAGTTGGGAGCTGTGAAGCTGATGACAAAAAAAAGCGTTTACACAATGCTGCGCAAAAGGGACGGATTAGAGCTATTTAACAATACCACATCTGAGCAATAACTGGGTTTGTATGAACGGCTTTTTCTTATGTGGAGTTGTATATTTAACATTCTCTCGTATGTATATTTCAAACCTCCTTCTCACAGGAAAAAGTAAACAATGGCAGAAAAAGAGAAGCCATTCGTTTACGTTATTAAGATTTTCTTTTGTGGTGTTAACCCTAAAAAACATATATAATTTGTTAGAATAAAAGATGTTACATATCAAAGGGCTAACATATAATATACTCAGTGTTCTGTGTTGTTTGGAGCTGATTGTATATTCAGAACATGAACTAGCTGGCTTCATAGCCATTCCCTTTCAGACAAAACAGGTGGTTGATTCAGACCAGCGTCTCACCCAATGAGACATCAACCTCATTATAAGGGCTGCTTTTTTCCTCAGCAATAATAACAGAAGGCGACAGAGTGCAGCGCCATGCCCTTTATGTCAGCCAGGCTTTCCTTACTGTGAAACATTTGTGAGAAGTTGCAAAAACTAGATGATTATAAGACTTTAACTTTTAAAAAATGATTAACACGCTGACATCTGCTGATACAAGTGCTCCATGAAAAGTGGGATTTCCTCCAATGAACGCAATCAATAGAAATCATTTAGTGAATGTTCTTTTAGTTGTATGGCCAATACCTGTGTAAACATACATAAACACCACATACACTATCCTACATTTACATGCGTTTATACAAATGAGGACACAATTACTGAATAAACTGCTGTTGTATTATTTATAATGTCAAGCATCTGCAGACTTAGATTAACACAAACTTGCAGTTTCTCAGTAAAAATAATAATCTATATATGACTTTAGACACAGAAGAAAATGTCTTTTAACTCATGAATGCAAGCAACTTTTCCCCCCACGTGCTCATAAACAACCCCCACTTACAGCGTTAATTAAAGCCTTTAATAACACTATCAGGTCAGAATAAAGTGCAAACTCATAAACTTCATAAATACTGACAGCCCCTTACCTTTCTCAGCAGTTTGAGCACTTCAACCGCTTGCTCCATCTTCTGCTCACGCAGAAGCATCTGGATCTCCCGGATCCAAGCCACCCGTCTGACATACGGGCTGTGGTTGGTTTTCCGCAGCATCCCTGGGAGCTTGTCGGACTTGAGCATCAAGGAGGTAAACAAGAAGTCCCCGCCGCCTCTGCCGCCACTTCTCTCGCTTTCTCCCGGGTTGTCATTCCTCTGCCGTCTCCTCTTGGACAGTTTGCTCTCAAAATCGAGACTTCTCTGTCTGGTCAACTTGGAACCCATCACTCCTGAGAGGACGTGTCGGTGGCGGAGGAGGAGGAGGAGGTGGTGGTGGTGAGAGGGATTTTACAACATGCGGCCAAAACATCACACTTAACTTGTAGCGAGATGTGCCGAAATACTTCTTCCCTCAGTAAAATAGTGTTTCAAAGTTTCAAGGCTACTACTGAACTGCAAAGCAAAATCATAACAATGTGTGCCCCGCTTGCTCGCCGTCGTCCCCTGCTTGCATCTCGTCCATCCATGCACTGCCTGAGCACTCTGGCATCCTTTGCTTTACTCAGAGCTGGTGCGCTCCTCAGCCAATCAGATCGTGACTCTCCGCACAGCCCGACAGTGAGAGTCAAAATGCTCGCAGCTTCGATTTCCTACTAACTAGTGACCCCACATCATAACGCACAGGTTGTTTATGTGACACTGAGTCAATCAGAGAGAGTAGACTTGTTTAATCCTGTGTTATTATGGGGTCTTATGTAACTGTTTAGTAATCTAGTAATATGGAAATGTGCTCATAGATAGATAGATAGATAGATAGATAGATAGATTAATATAAGCACATAGATTATAATTGCAGTGCAGAAAAACGCCTCTCTGACCCTCTCAACAATAATTGGAGATAATAGCAGCCTAGGTTTATGGCACATTGGATTGCATTACATGTTCGTATTGATTTGTCCATGCGGAACTCAAGTTACAAGGCTATATGTGTGCAGCCTATGATCCATTAACACTTGGTGCTGGTAGAGGCTCAGTTGGTGGATGTGAAGAGCATGCATGAGATATTTAAGAACTCACAGAACACCAACGGTAGACGGAGCTGTCCTGTACAGTATAGCTGTAGGATGGGCAGTCTGCTGGTCTGGCCTAAACAATAAAGATTATAACTCCCATGTTTAAATTGCACAACAGCCTATCTAAATTAAATCCATCAGCTATGCAGGCCGCATGAGCTCAAGGTTTGGTTGTCCATTAAATCAGGAACAGTATTGATCAAGCTCAGACAGATGGGCTACTAGACAGATTTAATCAGATACTGAAAAAACATGACCTGTAAATCTGAGTAGTAGAGAGACTAAACAACTTAAGACAAATGGATAAGTAGTTCATCTCTAAAGAACCACAAAATAGCCGCTGACCTCAAGTGGTTTAACTTTTCAGGGTGTGTCAGTACGCAGGGACATCACTGTTAGGCATGGTTACAGGTGCAGCAGACTTGAAACCAGAGAGGATTTGAATCTCTGCTTTTCAGCTTAGTTTTAACTTACCCTTTCAAAGTCTGTAATGGCAATTTTTAAGAACCTACATAAACTTCTGATCTGGTCAAGAGGCTATTATATGCATTAACCTTTAACCATGTTTCTAACCACACTCTATGTCCAAGTAAACAGCAGGATGTTGAGACTTAACTGAACATCCAAGGACATGATAAAGACCCGTCGTCACACCACGCTATCTGGTTACGTACTCAGGAATGTATAACTGTGTTAGAGTGACGCTCTGACAGGGTTAAAATAATACTGCCTCTTTCACATACGGGATTGCGTGAGAGTTGTGTTGAGTCCATTCATGGATGGCTTGAATAAACTTTACAGAAAGACAGGATCATATTTTGTACGCTTTATTTAACAAATAGCCACCACAAATCCAAGTAAAGTCACATTTAGTCGTTCCTTTTTGCAGTTAACAATAATATCAACATCCATATATCAAGTGGCTGGACCATCATGAAACCAAAAAATATGAAATATAAATTTGAGCATAGCAGATAAGTACCTTGTAACAGACAAATACAAATCTTCTTTTTCCTCACCACTGTTAGAATTTGCTCCAGGCACAAGAAGGTTGACATCAGAAGGGCTAATGTGAGATGACCTGCTTGTATCATCAACCTACTTTAAGCTCTAACCTACATTCACTGTTATTGACACAGATGCATCTTGTTTACTAACTAAAAGCATGGGGTGAATCTGTGTCTCTCTGCTCAGTGAAGCTGTGACACAAGTCAGGGCCCGAGCTTTCAAAACCTAATCCACTGTCAGCCCTGTATAACATAACACACCTCTTACATCACCTAACAACCCCCAGTGTGATTGAGCATAATAAATTGTATCATCTCCCAGACTAAATGCAAAGCCATGGAAACAGTGGTGAACTCTATGCCAGAGAATAGAGTAATATAGTAGTTCCCCCGTGCCTGGTGCATCCCCATAATGCTGGTACTAAAGCCTAATGGCTCTCACTGGCTCAGTCTGGATTTCAGGATTTTACTGCCCACCTCAGGGTCGATGATCACCTGGATTGTGTCGGTTCTTGTTCTTTCTTGACATGGGATTTCAGCAGGTAGCAGATTCCCATTTTACTAGCGTCTAAGGAAAAGACATGCAACTTGGTGAAAGGGTGTAGCATGGGCCAATGAAGAACCCATTACATTTTGGAGCAGATCCAAAGCACAGGGCGGATGCACTCATTGTATTTCGCTTTCATTAACATTGTGAGGTTATTTGTAACACCAGTGTCTTTGGCGAAATTAGCTGAATTTGTTGCGCATGCATGACCCATTGCAATTAAAGTGAATTAAGGCCAACATCTGCACTCTCTGAGTGCCCTTCTAGTTTACTAAGGCCCCTGTCTTTGTCAAGCACCTCATAGACAGGGTTTGTTTTTTTACCTGCACTCTGCATTATGCTTTTTTGCAACAGTGATTTGTAACAGTAACATATGATGGTGTCATCAAATGAGACAACTGTGTTGTTCTGGAGAGCAACTCAAAACAATGCATTATGTTGTTTAATTTGAGGCATGAAAGAAACACATCGAACCACGAGTTAAGTGTCAGAGAGAGAATTTTATAGCACATAAAACTAGAGTTATTACCGCTCAGGAATTGATATGAGATTCTTCTTTGGAAAGCTGCTTTTCATTGCTGACTTACTGTAGCAGCACTAAAGAGTCCTGACTGATCTTACTCAGACAGACACTTCAGATCAAAGTAGATAGTACACAAAAGGACGTTTGAGATGTTTAAGGCAACTCTCTGGGAGCTGCCAGTATTAACTGTACTCTTGACCTTGTCTCCAGACAGATGAGTGGACTCATATTTTGGTGCAGGAGGAGTCAGGTTTGACAATCCAGGAGCAGATGTACTGCATGTTGCGTGATATTTAGTATCTTGGCTGCTCATTCTCCCCCTGTTCTACTTTTTACACTGCATGAGGGACACCTGTGTTTTATTATGTTTATGAGTTTACTACTATTTACATTTAAGGAGAATCTAAGCACCCAGTCTGAGAAAAGCTGAAACTAACTTTGTGGTCATGGTGGTTGCGATTTTGGGCCAATTGCCGAGGCACCACCACAGCACAGATGTGTTGCATATTATCCAGCTCTGACATGTATTCTACATATACCCAGTGACTACTGTACGTTTACAAGAGAACCAACAAGAGAAACATGCAGCATATACAATAAAACTACTTTGTTGGTGGTAGAATATTATAATTTAAAGATTCAGAAGATTCTTTTTGCATTAACAACAGGAAAACAAAATAATGAAAGTGACTGTGGGTATATATTGTTCTACATTCACTTGTTGCTTCATCATATTATCTTTATATATAGACAATATTCTATATCCAAATCATTAAAGTATCAAACCAAACTTTTGTCGTTAATGTTTGTGTGCAGTCATCCAGGTTGACTATAAGGCTGCAATGATCTGCTCTTAAGCACAAGTTTCAGTCTAGTGAAATAAAAGAAGGTAATCCTCAAAAATGATCAATTTGTCATTAAAATAAAACAGTGTGATTGTGGTTAACCTTGTTTTGTCAGGTTGTAGCAGCCCAGATAACTATGGATATTTAGTAGCGCTGATGGGCTACAGCTGTGAAAACACAAACCTTGGTGTTGGTGTTATCATAGCTGTAACTGCACCGCATTTAAGGAAACTCCTTGGATACCGCTGTCACTTTCAAATACAAGTGCTACAACTATTCATTTGTATGTTGAGCTAAAATTATACAATAATACATTTTTAATGCCTGATTTAAATAAGATGTTGCACCATTGCTTCATTCAACCTGTGTAACCTGTAACCTACACATAACCATTTGACTCAGGATTCAAATTCAATTCGCAATGCCTGTCAGAGTTTTTCTTTAATTGCATACACATCACTCCTCCTTGAGCACCTTCAGGCCATCTGGAGCTAAAACAGATTAGGTTTTTGAGCACTTTGGTTTTTGTTTCTTTCCATTTTCTCTCTTGAACTGAGATAACTGCTATTAACTAGGATAGTTGGCTGGGGCCTCGGTGTCAAAGTTGAAAATCTGTCCTGTTCGTCTTGCCCTCCACCTATTGGTCTGGCTGCTTATTTAACAGAGACAAACAGGGTGTACAGTACGCACATCCAGAAACTCCTACGGGTGCTGGATCAAAAAGCTTTCAAGAGGCAATAATAATATAGGCATTAATATAATACATAATATTGAATCAGTAGGAGTAGGAATAATTGTTTTCAATCTTTCTATGTATTTTTCCACATTGTAGTTTTATGATTATTGTTTTTTCTGGATGGTTTATATGATTTATGATGTATTTTTCACACAGCTTCTGATGTGTTGGATTTAATATGTGCCTTTATAATATTGATCTTTCTAGTTGTTTTTTTCCCTTTTAATAGGCTACATTCACACAACAAGCCTTAGCACTCACTTCTGATTTATTACTCTGATTATTATCTGATTATTTTTAAATATGACCAAGATTAGATTCAGCGTGAACAGCCCATGGTCCTGACGAACGTGACAGACTTAGATCTAGAGGTTGGCCTGCAAAAAAAAAAAAAAAAATCAGACCTGAATCTGAATTGAAAACATCAGATTCCATGTGTTTTGTACTGTTCACACTGTCATACACCGATCTGAGTCACATATGATAAAATAAAAATCAGATTTGGGTCACATGTTCCTGCATTGTGAATGTAGCCACAGGGGCATGCTTTGTCACCCAGCTCTGCTCTGATTGGTCCAGCTTGAGATTAGCTTGACTCTCAATCATGATGATCACAATCACCTGAGTGATGCATGTGTTTGCGTCTATAGTGCTTGTTTTGCTTTGTGATGGTGATTCGACAATGCCTTATGAAGAATTTCGAACAGATGCTCAATAAAGTACTACAGCGTGTGGATCCTTTGACTGCTTATTTAACTGACTCTTCTCACCCAGCTCTGCACCCCTTCACACTGGTCCCCTGCAGTTTGTTCTTAGTGTTCGTTCCTCCCCTCATGGCAGATGTGATCTTCTCCCTCGCAGCCCTGAAAGCCTTCATTTTCCTGGTGAGGAGGCACTTTATTTGAAACTTTAAAATCGGTTTTTTTTTTTTAAGCTGTCATGCCAAAACCGATATTTATTATAGAGCTACATTACATCAGAGTTGTGAAACAGGTCCCTACTTTATAATTCTGTTAAAGTGTTGACTATCTAGAGTCATATGTCATCTATTTGAAATGACCCACCAGCAAACAGAGGCTACTGTTAGTTAATCTTTGTCGCAGATAAGCTTGAATACCATTACAGATAAAGAACTATTCATCCAGCAAACTGTTAATCTTTGTTGCAGATATGTTTAAGTATCACTGCAAATAAAGAACTATTCATCCAGTGAAATGTAGTTTCCTCTCAGTTTCAGGGTCATGTAATTGCTCTGTGTTTGTGTATTTTAGAAAGTAATGTGAAAAGTGAGTACAGATGACTAATTATTTGAATGATAACTTGAATGTCATCTCAGGTTGTTTCTTCTGTCTGCATTTTTTTTCTCTCCCCTCGGCAACACAAGATAGGTGTTTTATGATGGGGTGGGTTAAAGTTTAATGACTTTGTCATAGTTACATATTGAGAGCCACAGAAAGCCTATAACCTATCAACTACTGCAGTTCGTGGCAGGCGCACACAGTGAGCAGCCTGTTGCTGAGGCCCCCCGATAGGAATCAAGGTAAGACAGAAAATCATTTGACATGTCTGGGAAAGTTCATCTCAATCATCCAGGTGATACGATGTTGAATCCAAATCTAAGACGAGGATTTGGATTTTCTATTTCTCCACGTCGTTGTTTCACTTCCCAAAATGTCCTTTTTGCTTTTAATTGTTGAAGTAACTTTGTACTTCAAGATGTGAAGTCAGGCGACAATTTTGTATAAATTGTTTGTGTACTGTAATGTTAAACAGTAGCTCTTGTGCTGTGCAACTGTACTGTCGATTCACTTGCCTGTTACGTAATCTGGTTTCATTCCTTTGACAGACCAAAGAATCAGCATGACAGTAGGCTTTAGGATTTGGAGCACATGAGAGGTATTATTAAGATTAAATACTTGAGGCTTTTTCTTATTCCTATTCTTTTTATTCTTATTGGTTGCTGAGAGCACAGCAGGAAGATACACTGCCTCACAGTCAGATAATCTCTGATGTTAAACAGTAACTGAGTTACTTTAACACATCAGTTTGGAGCTTTATTGACTAAGCAGAACTCTCATACACATTTCAAAGTCTCTTTGTTATTTAGGCTACATTATTTTAAATGTAGATCGACAGAAATGGTCAATTATGTAACTTCTGTGTGATGGAATAAAGTATTTTTTAAAAATCTCTGTTCAGTTAACCTTTATTTGAACATTTGGTAGGGACATTTAAAAAAGTAGCTTGTTCAGCAGTGAGGTTTTAAGGATGTGAGAAGAGGTGTAGTGAACTTATTTTCAGCCAGCCAGACAATGTAAAGTAGAGTTGGGGCTGTATTGCTGCCCTCAGGTCCTTCAAATATAACTTGACTTTTGCCAACAGGTCAGCTTATTTGGTTTAGGACCAAAAAACACAACTCATCTCTGCTTGAGGCTAGCAGCTTGAGGGTACATTGGCTGCTACTATGATAACACACCTGAAGCTCTGTTAAATTGCCAGCTATCAAATTGCATTGTGGGTAACGAAGGCAAGGGAGAAGAATGTGTGGATAAAAAAAACACACAATATTTTTGGTTCTGCTTTCATGTTTTTTAAACTGTCCATCGTGAGTGATCATTTTGAGTTCACTGTGAAATGTACCCTTTTAAAATTAATAAGGTACATTTTTAAAAAGCGGCATTAAGGCTCACTATGTAGGCTAAAGCACCACCCTCATCTCAGTTGTGATTCTCTTTCATAGTAGCAACATTCAGATTAGTGAAGTGAGCAATGAGTGGGTGTCAGTTGGTGAATCTTCTTCAATTAACTTCTGCCTTACTTGGTCTGTTGACCATTATGGTTACTTACTGACTTATATTTAACATTATTCACCTGTGGTCACGCGCTGACACCTGTGTTTTAGCAAACCGCTTTTATGTGGGTATTTTGATTATAAACAATGAAGAATATCACTTTTCTCAATCTCCGCAGTCTGGGATTTTCTGAACATTGACTGGCTGGATAGATTTGATATGTGTAACATTTTTATGTTTGTATGTTTATATTTCAATATTTCCGCCTCAGTTGTAGCTTTGAACTTTCATGTGATTCTGCTGATAATCCAATATTGATACAATATTTAAACCTGTATTGTATAATATACATAGTATGTGTGAATTTCTAATTTAGTAATCTGTTTGATCTATGTGCTGTGTAATTCTTTTCATTTGGGTTTACAGTTGAAGTGCAGCTCTTTGCAGTTGCATTTTCATACATTTAAAATACAAATAGTTTTTTCTTTCTCTTGACAGGGATTAAATAAAGTGTCTTGATTTGTTCCTGAGCTATAAAGATGTCCAAGAAGACAATAATTGTGGCGCTGGCGATACTGCTGTTGGCCTCTGTCGCCACTTTTGTGGGTGTCTTCTTTGGTGTGGGGAGAAGGAAGCCTCCGAGTGAGCAGGTGTACTTGAAGGCAGCTGTGGCAGCAGATGCTGGGCCTTGTTCAGAGGTCGGCAGGTGAGAGCTTATCCAGTAAAACCTGCTCTGGGACATGTTGCTCTATGGTAAACAATCATATATGGATGCAAACATACAATGTAAACCTGAACATTGCTTGCACATAGAGCCACACATGCAAATCCCTGTGAACTGGCTTTATTTAGGCCTAATTTATTTATATCTTTACCAGCAGGGTCTTAAAATCTTAAGTGTAAAAACTAATCCTCCACCACTTCCCTCCCTTGGTGTGTTTTAATGAATTTTACCACAGAGACATACTGATGAAAGGGGGGTCTGCAGTTGATGCCTCTATAGCTGCTTTGCTGTGTGTTGGCCTTATGAACGCTCACAGTATGGGCATCGGAGGAGGACTTTTCCTCACCATCTACAATGCAACAACTGGTACACCTTTACTCTAACATAACATACATAATACTTGTTTACTCTCCCCACCTACACAACAAGCCCATACAATATACCAGATCATCTGGAGCCTAAATGCATTTCCTTATCTGTGACTTGTACACAGGGGCGGTTGAGACCATTGATGCCAGGGAGACGGCACCACGCAACGCAACAGAGAACATGTTTGGGAACAGTACCGATTTATCCCAGAAAGGTAATGGCTAACCGACGCTATCAGACATGAAAATGAGTGGAGGGAAGCTGTAATTAAGACTATTATGAAAGAGGATGACCTTGTGATAGTGACAGACAAAAGAGAGATTAGATTTTATATTCCCAGAGAGCCGTGACAGACTCTAATCTCAGGAATAAAAAAACAACAAAAGTTTGGGTCCTAAAGTGTGTGTAGCAGTGCTCTAAAATAATGAATCTGAATAACTTACTAGGTAGTAATATAAGTATTTGTTTCCTTGTTTTTTTTTACGGTTGGTAGGAGGGTTGTCTATTGCTGTACCAGGTGAGATTCGAGGTTACGAGATGGCACACAGACGACATGGCAAACTGCCTTGGAGAGACTTGTTCCAGCCGAGCATTAATCTTGCAGAAAAGGGTTTCCCTTTGGGCAGGGCACTTGCTACTGCTATGTCCAGACACAAGAAAACCATCATCAAGGACCAAGCCCTATGGTGAGATTCATCAACCCAAGGACTTTAAAACCAATGTCTGCCTTTTCACTTGAAACATGTTCATAACCATAATGACTTTTTACCCTCTATTTCAGTGGAGTGTTTTGTGGGAAAACTGGTGATGTCCTTCAAGAAAATGACACCATTGTATTTAGCAAGCTTGCAGTAACTTATAGAAAAATAGCAGAAGAAGGTCCTGATGCTTTCTACCACGGACAACTGGCGCAGAACCTTGTGACAGATATTCAGAAAGCAGGTAGTGTTTTTTATTGTTTTGTTTGAATTAGGAAAGTCGATGACGGTAAAACCAAACAGTCTTAAGTCACATGGAATATTGTTTATGCTTCTCTTTTCCTTGTCAGGTCAGAACATCAGGAATACTGCACTTATTTATTGAATAAGTAACTTTGAATAGACATCAGACTCCCAGCAAAAGGATGAACAAGCTATCTATAATCACAAGCAATAGCAAGTTCATGTGTGAATAGCTGCAAAATGGAGTTTTAATCTAGACTTTATTTTACAATCCAAACAACGATTTCTGCAGATAAGATTATGTTTCTGTACCCATGAAGAACATTAATGAAGCACATTATCTTTATTATCATTATGACATCTACCATCATCACTAAAAGGCATTTGCTAAATAGACTTCAGGACATAAAATATACTAACATACTCCTCTCTCTGCACATCTAATTTCCATGTTAAGCAGGATTTGTATTTCCTCTTCTGTCCAAGTGTGCATTCACAGTGTTTGTCAATCTGTGTTTAGGCGGTATCATCACAATGGAGGATCTGAAGGATTATGTGCCTGTCTTGGATGAGAACCCTTTAAGGGTGAATGTGGGGGAGTACATCATGGCTGTTCCCAATGCCCCCGCTAGTGGCCCTGTGCTCTCACTGATATTAAACATCTTGAATGGTAAGCATTGATGCTTTGTCCAAAAACACCCTGAGTGGGAGAGAATGTGTTTAATGTGAGCTGCCTTCACTTTGCCAGTCACTCTCTCACAAAGGACTCCACTGTGAGCAGCATGTTGATCTACTATACAGGAAATCTGCTCTTAAAATAAAAAAGCTTAGCTGACTTTAACTTACCCAAGACTGTCTACTTTCTAAAACACAGATCCAAATTTGTAACCTAGATCTGTGTTTTCTTTGCCAAACCTCAGCCAAGTAGTTTTTGGGGGTATTTTGTTTTGAGATATTCATGGTTTCCAGACGTTGTATCTTAAAGGATAAAACAATAGTCAGGTGCTCATATGAAAATTGAAAGAGGTTTTGCTTGCTGTTATCATTCCTCCTGTTCATACTGGCCATTAGATCCCCTCCTAATGCACTTTTCATGTGATGCTTACACTGAAAGTGCATTAGGGAAACTTTAGACAAACTTTGGAATACATTTTTGCTCAGAACAAGGACTATGGATTTTGTTCTCCATCACTTACAATGAAAGCACATTAGAAAAGGATCTTTTACTGGCCAAACAAGAGGAACCATAACTATATTCATATGGGCACCAGGCTTGAAAAACTGTACCTATACATCCTTTGATGAATTTAGTGATTCATAGCCTTTCATCTAGCATCACCAGCTGTTTGAAAAAAATCATGTAAAGAATGAAGCTACTTCTAGCAGCTGGTTGAGTTAGCTTAGCATAAAGACTAGAAGCAACTAGCCGGGCTCTGTCCAAAGATCGTAATGTCCTAATGTAACATCCAGGAAATAACCAACCATAAAACTGTGATTCATTGTTTTGTTTTTTACACTTTTTAAAGATTATTTACAAGAAAGAGAATATATGTATTTCCCAAAATAATTCAAGCTTTTCCTTTCACCATAAATGTGACCTTATCAGTCATGTGGGTGGTTTTAGAAGAAACTTTTCTTTGGTATGAGGACAGATGGTGCCTCATAAAGTCATAAAGCAATAAACTACTAAAGCAATATCAAGTTTAGATTGAACTCTAGAGAATGAAGTTTAAACTGCGGAGGGAACAACTCGAAGAGCTTTTATTTGATTGAAGTAATTAAGATCCAAATATAATTGCTGTTTGTGTCTTCACACCTGAACGTGTTACTAATCAGATAATTTAATTCATTTATTTTCATCATATTGGCTAACCATACATAATTTTTGTGTACACCATAATCTGTCTGACTGAACTTTCTCTTGGTTGGCTATTATAGCAGAAAATGTCCACATTGAAGACACTGTCATTGTCAGTTTTCAGAACAGTGACAGGGTCTGTCTCTGAGGATTAGATGAGAAACTTCCTTCTAAAGTAATTAATCTCTCTGAACCTTTGCTTCCCTCTGTCTGGCCACCCACTCACTGTGCCCCCCTGCCTCACACAATAACACTAATCTCACCAATTTACCCCTAATTGGACACAGTCGAGTGGTGGAGGCTTCACACACACATTTCTGAGACTGCCCAAAACTTTTATCCTGCCGATTTACTGTGACTCCTGCCTCTGTCCGACAGCTGAAACCCATCAAACCAAAACTCTCTAGTTCCCTCAGTCTTCCTCCTGTTTCCCTCTGTGGCTGTCAGCTCAGGCTAATACCCACGGTCTAGTCACAGCAGCTTTTAGACTAAATAAAAACACAGGAACTGCCTGGGTCAAGTCCATTTTAGCTGTCTCCAATACCTGAACAGCCCTCCTGAATGAAGTGGACGAGTGAGACTGGGGTTAAAATCAAATTACTGATGATTGTTATATTTCCTACAGGGTACAACTTCAACGCAGATAGTATGACAAGCACTGAGAAAAAGATCCTAACCTACCATCGCATCGTGGAGGCTTTTCGTTTTGCTTATGCAAAGAGGACCTTACTTGGAGATCTGAAGTTTCTCAACATCACAGATGTAAGGTCATCTCTGCTTGAAACAGTTTAATAATTAAAGTGTTGGTTTGAGTTTCCAGGGAATCATACTGTTTTTGTGCTACCTAACCTGAGGCAGCAGCTCTTGTCTCCAAAGCTTTAGGCCTAATACTTTATATACGTGTTAGCATTCCTTTAAATATGTTTTATAGGAGGTGGCAGTGCGCTACGACAGGAGTGTGCCAAAGTCTGATATTCTTTGATTACATAAGAGCTTTAAATGTTTTCACGAGCACAAACAAAGTACTTTGGTTAAAGACTAACTTAATACCCGACTGAAAAGCAGCATTTAAAAAGTTCCACGCCTGTTTCACCTCTGATTGTACCCAGCTTAACTGATAGGCATAGTCATTATGATCCTCTGTTGTACCTGTAACTACACCCACCAGTGATGTCACATTCACAAGCCATTAATCTTTAGAGAAAACCTTATTCCCATAGATGCTAATTACCTAGGCTAAACTGTGCTACCATCACAGAACACAGACACAATTATGCAAGCATGCAAGACTTTGCTTGTCTTGGATCATAGGAACAATAGTAAAAATCCCCCAAAAAGCATTAATTAACACAATACTGTTCTTTAAATATTTGGTATATGAATTATGTCCCACTTTCTTTTTCAAAGCTCATCCAGAATATGACTTCAACTTTCTTTGCCGATGACCTCCGTGAAAAGATCACAGATGATACCACACATCACATGAACTACTACGAGCCGGAGTTTTACCTGCCTGAAAACCACGGGACCGCACACCTCTCTGTAGTAGCAGAAGACGGAAGTGCTGTGGCTGCCACCAGCACCATCAACCAATAGTATGGCCTCCTAATTGACCTAGACAAATATTCTTACCAAAGTTAGTTTGTCTTGTGCCTCATATCTTATTGTTTTCCTGCAGTTTCGGCTCCAAAGTTATGTCAGGATCAACAGGGATTCTTCTCAACAATGAGATGGACGACTTCAGCTCCCCGCTCATCACAAACGGCTTTGGAGTACCTCCTTCACCGAACAACTTCATCAGGCCAGGTTATATTAACACCAACACACACACACACACACACACACACACACACACACACACACACACACACACACACACACACACACAGAAGGGTTTTAAAACCAGTAAAATTGTAATATAGATTAGCTGTTCAATGGTTGGCTGATTAAAGGTCACCTGTCCTTTTTGACACTGTACATTATCTTTTATGTGCTTTAAAATAATAATGCTTTTTAATGGGCAGTACTTGTGGCTCCTGGCAGGGGCAAGGCTCTAATGCTTAATTTCTCCTGTCATTACCCTTGACCAAGGCACAGTGACTGCCCACTGCTCTTAACACTTGGATGGGTCAAATGCAGGAAATAAATTTCACCACAGAGATCAATAAAGGACAACTGAACTTAACTGTATTGTGCAATAATTCTAAAAAATAGTGGATAAACTGTCTTCAACACCTTTCAATCTTTTTATTGGTTTACAGTGTTGAAACAAAGTAGATTTAATGTGGATTTTTTTACACTGATAAATAGAAAAAAAAGACCCTTTAACATCAAAATAGATCTCTACAGAGTTAATAATTACATAAAATACTTGTGTAACTAGGTCTCTATACTGTATATACATTCACCAAAAACACATCATGTTAAACCTACTCTGATTCAATGTTGTGAGACATGATCCAGTGGTGGTAAATACTTTTTATAGGCACTGGAACATACACTTGTTCTATCTGACCTTGTTAACTTAATCTACCATTCAATTCTCTTAAAAGGAAAAAGGCCAATGTCTTCTATGTGTCCAACCATCCTCTTTGACGAAAACAACAAAGTTAAGATGGTGGTTGGAGGCTCAGGAGGAACAAAAATAACAACTTCTATCGCTCAGGTAAGACACAAGCCACAGTCAGAAGTTGATACACCTGTTAAAGTATCATATATTAATGAAATAAACTATCATTATACATAGTTCTTGGCTGTTAAGTTTTCATTAGCTGAAATGTTTGTTATTTTCTAGGTGATTCTGAATGCACTGTTCTTCGACTACGATCTGTATAAAGCTGTATCAGATCCAAGGCTCCACAACCAGCTGAGTCCCAACACCACTGTAGCAGAGCCTGGCTTTGACAAAGTGAGTGTCACAAACAGCAAACAATATGTGACTAATAGCAAGGTGGTGTGGTGTGTAGGGAGACAATCCTTCAACAAGAAGTCCAGCTAACACTCAGCTCTCAGTCATGACTGGCACCGGGGACACAGTTAATTATATTCACCTTCAGGGGTGTGTATAATGTAAAAAGGAGGCAAATATTTCAGCACAGGTATGGTAATAACCTAAATGTGGCTGCTAAAAATAAGCACATTTTATATGTTGTTGCCTCTAAACACAACATAAAATCAAATAAAGCTCATTTTATGAGGTAGTAAAAAAGTTTGTACGGTTGTTTCTCTGCAGGTTCCACATGCAGAAAGACAACTTGCACATCACAATGTAATATCTTCTAAATATACCATTGAGGGTCATAAATAGAAAAAGAAACCACACTAACATCTTGCAGACTAAATAGTGTGTGTGTGTGTGTGTGTGTGTGTGTGTGTGTGTGTGTGTGTGTGTGTGTGTGTGTGTGTGTGTGTGTACATTTTCATTCCTTAACTTAGAAACTGGAGAACTAACCGTTGAGTAGGGATGGGAATTGATAAGAATTTAACGATTCCGATTCCATTATCGATATTGCTTATCGATCTGATTCTCTTATCGATTCTCATTGGGTGAGGGAATAAGTACAAATTTGTTTGTTTATATTAACTCGCTTTAATATCCAATCAGAAGACACAGCACAGAGTATACACAAATTATGTGTAGCAACCTCAGAACAAACCTAAAAGTAGGTGAGCTACTTCTCAAAGTAAAGTCCAGGGACCCATAGCCTAGGGCAGTGTTTCTCAACCAGTATGTCATGGCACGCTAGTGTGTGCCTTGAAAGATTATCAAGAGTGCTTTCGGATTAGGAAATTGTTAATTTTCACATTAATTGGTCCAGACAAAAAATAAATGTTTGGCTTTTTAAGCCCAACTGCCATTATGTGCCATAAAAACTAAAGACACAGACTGAAATAGGGTGGCCATTTCCTTCAGATCAAAAAGGAGCACACTTTGCATACACAGGGACACGCAAGCAGATATTTGTTTGGTATGATCTGGTTTTAAATTTTAATGTTTTTTCCACCAGATTACATAAAGGTGCATACACATACCACATAACTAATAATAAATATACAAAATACAGCTCATGACAACGCCCTTCCAATTCAGATTACATAGGTCTAATATACATCATACAGAAACTGTATATTGGAGGTAGTCCCCTCTTTGACGAAATGGAAACTTTACAAGTGTTGCAAGTGACTGTATTGTCGTCTTTTCGCGTGAAATATAACCAAACTTTAGGGCGGTTCTGCCTCGACGGCATGTTTGCTGCGTTCTGAACCAAAACAATGCAGCGCGTGTGTGACGTCATGACGCATTTGCAACGAGAGGAACCGATAATCGTTAAGCAGGCACGCTAACGGTTCCACGGAATCAATTCACTGGGCACCGGTTCTGAAGAAGAACCGGTTCTCGATTCCCATCCCTACCACTGAGTTTATCATTTCACTGGGATGTAAAATCTTTTGTTGCCCAAAGGCAACAAATATGATCTTCACTTTGTTTCCAGCACTATGTTTGGACTCTTGTTTGTTCCTGTTTTCATCCCATTGATTGTTTGTGGGGCAGCACATCACAAGTTCAGTGTTGTCTTTGATTTCTTGCTTATGGAATTATTGATTATTTTCACAGACTTAAAGGGACATTGTGTAGGAATTTCTCCCATCTAGCGGTGAAATTGTATTTTGCATTCAAACGAATAGTGCTCTCTAGTGCTTCGCGTTTTCAAATGTGTATTGCAACTACGGTAGCCGTTATGTACCAAGAAGCCTACCTGTCGAGGAGAAAGCAGGCAACTTCAGCGTCCCTTTGAAAGTCTTTCTCCTTCAGTAGCTCTTTCCACCTGGGAAAAGCTACCCCGATGTTTACCCTCGTTTTTTGAATTCGCCGGTCACGTTGCCTTTTTAATTCCCTTTATCGCTTTTTTGGCGACGAGGATTCCTTCTCCTGTGGCTCGGCATAAGTATGATCCTCCATTATGAACTAAAGTGCAGTGCAGATTTTCAAATGTGCCTCTCACTGATCTCCTTCTCCGTTATAGCTGGTTTCAGTCACGTGACGCTGGCTCTGAACGAAAACGCGTTGTGGATTAGCGAGACAGGTAGGCTAGTGCTTTATGTCCCTCTCGCGATTAGAGTTTTTCAAAATGGCGGAACGACATGGAAGCCTCCATGGACTTGCCCGTCCAATGTTTATACAGATAAGAAATTCTTTGTTTACAAGGATAAGTCAGATCATTGGCAGAGGTAATTTTACACCAACGAGGACACATTTATGAATGAAGACATTGAGTTTAGTTAATAAAATACTTAAAACACTACACAATGTCCCTTTAACTAAATATAAATTCTTAAAATGGGCGTCATTCCCCTTTATCAAAATACACCAACAGGCTGATAAACAGTATTTTCTAAGCAAACACACCATTGTTGATCCTGTTTTCCTTTGTTTTCAAGGGGTCTGTATTTTATATATTTTTATGTCTGTTTACAGGACGTCCTGGCTGGTTTGGCTTTAAAGAACCACGAGACAGAGTTCCTCAAGTCAACAGGAGCTGTGGTGCAGGCAGTGGTTCGGCACGATGATGGACTCCATGCTCAGTCGGATCCTCGCAAGTGGGCATACGCCGCAGGGTACTGAGGTCATAAACACACCTCTGATTATGCAAAGAGACTGTAGCTGTGTGAACCTTGACACCAGTGGTACTAGCTGAGAGATTAGAGACTTAGTAGAGAACCGGGAATTGTCTTGGCCAGCAATTGTTTTTAAGTTAGAATAAAGTTCATGTTCTTCATAACACGCAAATCAGACAACGGAACATCAGCCTGTTGTTCGTCATGACTTTGAAAAGGAAGTGACGTAGTCTGAAATTAATTCTGAATATTGATTTTATGTCCAGTGCATTTTATGTCACATTACATTTCATGGAACGCACAAGACATTTGAATATTATTTTAAATGATGGTGCCATTCAGGTAATTTTAAAGTTGAAATAGGAAAACAGAAGTACATGTAAATGTTTGAACATTATTTTTAATGAAGATGCTGTTTTATTCACACTGTGTGTCATAAATGTGTACAGTTATACCTACCTTATACCTATTTATGAAGCACTTTTGTAAATCATTTGCAGAGCTGTTCCCCTTTGTTGTCCATTACCGATATAATATCTACAGTTAATTACTAATGACAGAGCTCTAAATTAAGGAAACATCCACGGAAAAAATAATCAAGACAAACATTAACTAACTTACAACTTCACATAAAACCATATTTCACCTGTTCATGGGGCGTGACAGCAAACAGATAGAAAGAGCAGGCTGCTGTTAAAAGAAATGACTAACAGCTTAGGGACAAACAGTCCTACTTAATAAATTACAGTAATTTCACACAACCCAGAGTGCATTGGCCTATAATGACCCCATAACAACATTACAGCTGTTGCTGATCATTGTCACCACTGGGACTCAGGGCTCTTGTTTTCTCAGCTGGAATGTAAATGTGTTACATAATTATTGAAACGTATACAATTGTAAAATTATAATGCCTGTCAACTTTTCACTACAGATGGTTAACATTCACAACACTTACATTATTAGCTATTGTATATGATATATTTATTTGAGAATAAATTAATGACAATCTCAGTGAATGGATTAATTATTTAGTCATTTCCTACATTAATGTTTTTAATTGCTTTTATCAAATTGGTACAGTAGATATTGTAGATATTTTCTATTTGTAGATGTTCTTTTAAAGAAACACTTGAAATGAACAAACGGTAATTATTAAAAGCACTCTTAATGTATAAACGTCTTTTGGGTCTGAGGCTTTATTATCTCAACAATATGATAATTATACAGACTAGCTGGATGAAGCTTCTTATTTACTGTCTGTTGGCATAAGTGTGGTTTGATAATTGACTCTCTAAGCTAATGGTTAACAATAGGAAAGAGCAAGTACACCATTATCTGTATCTCTATCAGACCAACTAAATGATCTATATTTGTATCTGTACTTGGAAGGGGCGGGATTTAAGCTGAACATGAGTGGTAAGTGGGTGTGGCTAACTGGACAATTTAGGCCTGAAATTGAGCTTCAGAGCAATGTTTTTGATAACATAAGAGTGAGAGAACTATTCACAGAACTTTTTGTTGGTATATTTATGAGTAGGCACATGGATATTGACGCATTTTACTTGTTTTACCGTATACTTGTTTCAGCTGAGTAACCTACTTGCTCAATCCTAGTTAAAAAGAGTAAGAGTGTGTTTTTTATTGCCTTTAATTGATGGCAACAGCTGATGACTGACAGGAAAGGGAGAGAATGAAGGGATGACCTGCAGCAAGGACTCTATCTTGGTACATACCAGCGGATGTGGTGCAGAGGCAGAGCGGGTCGTCCCCTAATCGAAAGGTTGTTGGTTCGATCCCCGGCTCCTTCTGCCACATGTCATGCCTTGCGCAAGATACTGAACCCCAAATTGCTGCGCATCAGTGTATGAATGAGGTAGTTTCTGTTCAATGGGCTTTGCATTGCTGTGTGAAAGGTCCATTTACCAGCTCTACCAGGAGGCCCTGAGAGAGACTATGATTTTGAGATAATTTCAGCAGGCTAACATGTTCACAACAGTGTTAACATCCTAAGCATGTATAATGTTCATGTTTTGATTAGTTGCATTACAAAATGTTATGGGCAATGGACAGACTCCCATTACCACATTGCTAGCCTAAACTGTTTATATGGGAACTAAAAAAACTAACTCGCAAATCAGACAAGGGAACATCAGCTTGTTGTTTGTTATGACCTTGAAAACAAGGTGACGCAGTCTGAAATTAATTCTGAATATTGATTTGATGTCCAGTGCATTTTATATGTCACATTACATTTCATGGAACGCACAAGACATTTGAATATTATTTTAAAGGATGGTGCCATTCAGGTTATTTTAAAGTTGAAATAGGAAAAAAGAAGTACATGTAAATGTTGGAAACATTATTTTTAATGAAGATACTGTTTTATTCACACTGTCATGTGTCATAAATGTGTACAGTTCCTATCTATTTATGAAGCACTTTTGTAAATAATTTGCAGAGCTGTTTCCCTTTGTTGTCCATTACAGATTTAATATCTACAGTTAATTACTAATGACAGAGCTCTTAATAAAGGAAACATCCACAGAAAAAAATAATCAAGACAAACATTTACAACTTAACATAAAACTATATTTCACCTGTTCATGGGATGTGACAGCAGACAACAGATAGAAAGAGCAGGAACAGGCTGCTGTTAAAAGAAATGACAGACTCCCATTACCACAGAGCCATAATGCTAGCCTAAACTGTTTATATGGGAACTAAAAAATTTTAAATAAGACATGTCTTAACCATTTTTCTGTTTCTGATGGAGAACATTAAAATTAATGGATTGCTGAGGTTTCAGCTGTTTCATTCCTCCTTCATTCTCACTGGCTCATTCACCAGCTGTGTGGTTATTGGTAACATCCAAACATATTCAGGTGTACAGAACAGCCATTAACCTGACACCATTAACTATACTGATACACTCGTGCAAATTAAGTTGCTTGGTACTGTTGTTTTATTTGAAACATGCGTAATGGGGATTATTATAACCAGCAGAATTATTGTCGCTGCCCAGATTCTTTGAGAAATCCCTCACAGAGCAGAGCCTTTTCCATCTAATCTAACTGTATACCTCTGATACGACCCTGCTTTGAGATCCTCTGGCAAGGGCCTTTTATCTGTTCCTGACTCTCGGCTGAAGACTAAGGGGCACAGAACTTTTGAAATAAGAGATGCGAGGCTCAGGAACACCCTGCCTGAGCAAATACAACAGGCTGAGTCCGTAGTTTCTAAAAAAATCTAAGCTTAAAACACACTTTTATTGCACCACCTTCCCTAATTTTGTTCTGTACATGGGATCATTTTTAATTTTTTGGTTCATTTAGTTTATGTTTTGTTATGTGTTTTTGTGCTATGTGAAGCACTTTATAACTAGATATGAGCTATATACCGTTCCTAGCAGAGAGTGACAGGAAATGTGGGGGAGAGAGGGGGGTGACATTCATTTAATACCCTAGCCAGTTTCAAACCAGGCACATCAATATTACATACTATGCGTGTAGCCCCTTGTCATTATTAAAATATCTTCAACTGCGTCACCTGGTGCGGTGCAATTATTTTCAAGGAGATGGTGAACGTAAAAATGAGCAAGTCACATTGGAATTTTACTTTAAGGCCCAATTAAGCACAATCGCACTGCCACATAGTTACTGTATAATGAACTTTGGAGTTATGAAACTCAGACAGGCTAATTTACCCACCCTTCAGGCATGAAGAAATTTCAAGTCTCAAGTCAATGCCTAAGTGTTTTTTTATTCAACCCACTGCCTTGCATGGCATTATGAGAGTTGCAAATAATGACGCACACAAACAGAATCTATGATAACATCAAATAACTACTTTTGAGATAATCAGGAGACTTTGTGACTGAAAGTGTGCTAACACTGGAGGTCAGAGAGTCATCACAGGATTATTTAACTGCTTCTGCTTTTGAGTGAAAGACATTTTCTACATAGTGTAAAATTATGCTTACTTTAAATGGCAGTTAATGTCATGACACTAAAGATATGAAGTCACAACTTATCCAGATTAACTCATTTGTCATACAACAAAGACAGTGGTGCTTCACACGGGCTAAAATTTGCATTTTCTCATAACTCACATCTAGCGCCTCAAAGGAAAACGGAGCAGAACCCACTTAAGAAATCATTACTAATTCATAAGTCTCTCTGCTGAAATGTATCTCATTAGTGCTTCCTTTCTCTCAGTGCAAAAGTGCTGCTCTGAAACAAGGCAAACAGGAACACATGAAGCAGATTATTGCTGATCATACTATACTAACAACAAAGGATAAATGTTTAAAGAACTGTAGTTTACAGTGAAAAGCATGTTGAATGTGTTTGGGTTGAATATAGTATGAGCTCAAGCAATGTTCAGGGTCAGTGATTACTCGTCTTTATGTTTTATTGAGAAAACACAGATATTCACAGTCAAAATGAGTCAAAAAAAACAGTTTTACAAAACACAGAAAATACAAAATTACATGTGGTGTGAAAATACACATACAATTTTGAGATCATTTAGTTCATTGTGAATCTACAGCATATTCTAATCTTTAAACAAAGATCACATAATGCTCAGGGACCTCACTAAGGTTGTTTCACATTCAATAAAATCTTTAAGGTCACACGTCAGTCAGGATGTCACTTTGAAAGGGTTCAATGGCTCATTTACAGTAAACTTACATAGAATTACGTAGAAATTAAAACATTCATCAATATGAAAAGACTTGCTGGTTTTGTATTGCTAGACTGCAGCCGATTTGCATTATGGCTCACGATGCACACACATTACACTTTGGTCAGGAGTGTGTAATCCTCATGAAAGCAGATATCAGCAGTAAGAGTAGCAACCTCACGGTGTGCTTATTGTGCATTAGTCTACATTGTTACCTCACATGACGCCACCGTGCATTTGTGACGACTGGCTGGCTTGAAAATGTGTTTATAGGGAGTGGTCTGATCGGTACAAAGGATGAGTCCTATTTTATTATTAGATTTGTCCAGCATTTCTGTCAATCACACTCACTCAAGTTAATTGCTGAGATCTGGAAACATCACTAAAAAGAAGACCGATGGGGCAAGAAATCTGAGTAGTCAGACTAAATATAAAAACTATTGAACTATATATATATACATAAAACTGTTAAAAAGTCTCTAAGGTTACTGAAATGTACAGTATATATGTAATGATAACTGTATTTATGATAATTATGTGGTTGAATGTGAAGAATTACCAAAATTTGGACACACTAATCACAGTCCAGGGCCCAGTTATTTGCCTTTCCAGAAACCATGAGAACTGAGCAAACACCATTTGGTGATGAAGACTATAAGATGCTGTTGAAAGCTCATGTCAGATCATGTCAGTGAATAGATTTGATTTGCAAAGGTGCTGCAGCAACTGCCCAACTAATCATTATGCTGCTGAAATACGATGGTAAAAACAAACAAAACAAAAGTCCGACATATTCCTCTGGCTCTGGCAGAAGTAAACGTAGACAGAGAACAGAAGTCAGTATTCAGGTATGAGTCACCGACTCTGCATTCACTGCAAATGAAGCAAGTGATACAGATATTATTTGGCAATTCACAGGTGAATATTAGCCAATTCTGTTCAGATGCAAGCTGCAGACAGACAGCTGACTTATTATTAACATTCTGTTTGTGCACTCAAGGCAGTTGTATAGCTGAACCTCCTTCACACCTCTCATCAACAGTTAATTTGTCTATGTGTTGAGTGAGTTTTGTTGTCATTTTAGATTATTTTAGATTGTATTACTTGCTGTTGAGTGTTGGCTGGGTTGTAGGCTATGGTTTTTCTGCCAAAATGCCTGTCGTCAACCCTCATTTTTCGTTGACAGTTTAGAAAGACTTTGAGGATGTTGCTCAGAACTCTGATTTAAGGTCTAAGGTTCGTAATCAACATCTATTAAATTAAGTTGTGCAAGGATTATGCTCACTTTATAGATTGCAGGATGTTCTTGCCACAATGTGGAGCAGAACATCAAATGGTTGGCATGTTTTCCTCATAAAACAAATAATAGTTTTATATAATGTTACATATAGTTAAACTATATATAGAGTTTGAATACATAGTTCTCAGCTTCCAGCAATGTAAGAAAGGCCCCAAAAGAAATTCTTTCATTCGCATCTTCAATTTGTAGATTTAAAAAGGAAGTGGAAACACCGGACTTGGGAAAGAAAACTCATACTTTCAGTTTACCTCCAAAGAAAGCGGTTCAGATAATCTGCTCGTCTGACCACTTGTGTTTCTAGCCCCATCTGACTTCTTTTGAGTCATGTAGATTTCCAAGATCTCTGCATTTACTATGGTGAGTACAATGTTATCCAATGCCCAAACCTACAAATACAACTAAATGGGAATTATCCATTAAGCTTAGTAGTTTCCCGACTGTATTGGTCATCAGCTCCTTTAGGAAAGAGCTCAAGCAACAAAAAAACCTCACATTTTGTTGTCATGGGTTTGGCACATTCATTGTTCTTAAAGGCACACTATGCAAGATTTTTACCTTAATATAACAGCTTTGAAGTCATTTCGATGGTAAACGAACTCGTAGTATAGCGAATCATCCCGATAGTAACGCAGGAGAGGGACGCCGTTGGCAGAACCAGCAATGCAAGTCTGAAAGGCGGCGCCCCGCCAAATCTTGCGAGAATCACAAATTGCTTCACGGCGCAACGTCACATACATCAGCGACACAAGAAGCAGCCTCAGTGGAAGACACTAGCAGGCATTCACTCAGACGTTACCTGGTCAGTAGACATCTTCGGAGTCTATTTTTGCCTGTTCGATGTCCGAAGCTTCCATCCTACTGAACATGTACTGGTATACAGGGGGGAGGGGATCAGGTCATGAGTGCAGAGACGCAGAGCCGCTCTGGTGAGTGGTATTTACGACAGTTAACGTTAAAAACTGCATAGTATGCCTTTAAGGCTAATGGTTCAGTCAATCTTTAGGGCAGATTTAGGTGGTGCTCCTATGGTCAGTATCCAGCTGACATCCCACTCTTCCTCTTGTCCGATACAGCCACAATGCAACCATTCTTCTTTTCCACGGCATTGACAACATTGAGGAAATATTGCCAGTGCCCAACTTTGTGTCCAAGAGCTTTGAGGCCAGCTATCACAGACTGAGGGCACACAAAACACACATAGAAATTAATACCACTTATCCTTCCCATTTTAGATTTCAAAACTGATTATGGGTCAATTAAATCTGATTTTGTAGGATTATGTAATCGTAATCTCCATCAGAAACCATTAACATAAATAGAAATGGATGGATAAATAGATGGCCACAGTCTAGCGAATCTGAAGACCATTATTGGACATTGAGGAAGAGAACACAAGTAGCTCACCTTGTCAAAATTTTGCTCAAAATTCACATTGTTCTTGGCATCAACAAACAATATAGGCTCAGCAATGGCGGCTGTCAGATTTCTCCCCAGCCACAGGTGATTCATTATTGCCTGCAAGATTTAAAGAGAATCATGTAAGCAAACAAATAATGAAGCACACAAACAAGTATGCAAACAAAATTCAGTTGAGTTACCAAGGCCACTGCTGAGGTAATCAGGCTTCCTCCCGATCCACCAATCACAAGGAGCCCTCCAGACTTTGACTCCAGGATTACTGGACTCATTGATGAAGGAGGCTGTTCACCTATGACAACAATTACAGTCCATATCAGACTGAAAACAGACTAAATGACTACATTTAGTAATGTCTTTAATTCAATTGCCTTAGATTGAAAGGCCATGTTTATGTCAGTGACTTTACCTGCCCTCATAGTTTCTGCTCTCCCACAGAAGTCAGACAGCTCATTGTTGAGAATGATGCCTGTTTCTGGAGAGTAAACAGATCCTCCAAATCTACAAAACAAAACCCAACACAATAAATTCATAAAATATCATATCATAGTAGATTTGATATAATATAAACTAGATGCAGGAATCTTCTGCTTGAAGCGGCTTCTGGCTTACAATTGATTTATGGTGCTGGTGGCAGAGACAGCTAGTCCATCTTCATCAAGGACTGATACATGTGTTGTCCCAATGTGATCAGAAGAGGGTTTTTTACTGTAGTAGTCGAAGTTGTCATGGGTACGGTTTGAAGAAATCCTCTCCCTGATGTGATTAATGAATGAAGGATCAATCAAATGATCTGCACTCTGAAAGAAGAATATAAATATGAGACTGGAAAAGAATGTAATAACATTGTGTATACTGCGAGAGTGAGATGTAACTACATTGTATCCCTGATTATTCCTTTGTCTTTAATTTTGTTGGGTTTGTTTACCCTGTTATTAAAGTCAGGATCACAAATGCTCCTCCTTTGTCCATTGGCGAATTTAGCTGCCTCTATATAATGATGGTACATCTGAATCTTCTGGTAACCGTCCAGGGAGCTTGGACTCAAGGGAAACCCTGCAGAAACAGGAGAACAAAAACACAACGTTAAAACTCTACGATCTGTTGCGTTTTTACTTCTTAATTATTCCGAGTATAGATGCTAAAGTAGGTCAATTCAAGGGATCACAGGAGAGTCATCACACAGTACATCAAACCTTTCATCAGTTTGAGAATGAAGGTGAGTAGGGCGCCCCCGGCAGGTGGTGGAGGAATGTGCATTTGAGTATCTCCGAGAGGGACTGTCCATGCATCCATCACTCGCACGCGGAAAGATTTCAGATCATCCATTTCCAATGTCCCACCTAAAAGAAACATGTAGGAAAATGTGTATTATTTACTTTTCTATTTTTTCTACATATCCCCAGTTTCACAACTTTGTGGTGAATGTACCAACCTGCAGCTTTTATGTCTTTGATTAAGTCTTGTCCTATCTTGCCAGTGTAGAAGGCATCTGCCCCTTGCTTTGCAATTATTTCCAGGGTTTCTGCGAGTTTCGGATACTTCAGGGTGTCTCCTTTGCGCAGGACTGTTTTGTTCTTGTTGCAGAAGATTTTGCTGGAAAAAAGTATCCAAGAACATATTATAACATATTATAACACAAGAACTACTAACAGAAAACAGTGAGCCTGTTATCATTTGGATAATGAGACATTCATTTCATGCAATTCATAACATATCACATATACATCATCTGCAATTAATCACACTTATGAATGAATATTCTCAAATGTTCTGCAGGAAGTGGCTTCTGCATCTGTGTGCACATTTTTGCAGTGGCAGACAAGATGCACAAGAATGAACTCTTTCAGACTTGTCACTTCACACTTAACCCTCAACTAACCTTTTCAAATCTCGCATGTTGGAAAGGAAAACAATGTCAAACATTTCGGAAAGTGGGTGAGCATTGAGCACTGTTTTTTATCTCTGGGACAGTAAACTGAATCTGAAATCTAAGAACGACATTGTGGACCATTGTTCTGTTAGAATATAGTCACAATCATTTTCACTAATCTAAAACCTAATCTGCTCAAATGAGCGTGTCAACTGGATGAAACTATTATGCAGTGTGAAATCCTGAAAGTTAAATACTCAGAGTCAATTGTTAACCAAGGGGTTACATAAAACTAGCATAAAATTAGTTAACCCAGGGATTTATAGGAGAGCCCTTTGCTCCAGGATTTCTGCAGTGACGCAAGGGAGCTTCAGTGTCCTCAAACATTTATCAGTGTAGTTACAAATGAGATATTCTTGAAGTAATATTTTTGCTAACTATTATTATTGGAGACCTTTAACAGCTCTCAGTCAGTGAGCAATTAGTAAGATGTTATACCAGAGAGAGGAGCTTTCCACAAGACTTTTTGCAATGGGTTGGCTCAGGACATATGCCAGATAAGGCGGAATTTCGAAGCCCTCCCTGGCCAGTTTAATTGTTGGCTCAAACAGCTTGGCCCAAGGCAGCTTCCCATGATGTTTGTGAACTTCCTCATAGCCCCGCAGCTCTCCAGGAACACCAATCCACTGGCTGCCTACAATGCAATGCACAGGTAGGAAATAGTGCAGCAGCATTAAACAAATGTTGGAAACCAATGATCAAAACCTGAGGTGGACTTACTGAACGTGGAAGGGACAACTCAGCAAAAAAATGGTTTTGACTATATAAAATAGTCATATAACTTGTTCAGACCAACAAATGTATTTACATACAGCATATAAAATATTCAATGCTAGAAAAACAAAATGTAACATCATCAATGAAACAGGAGCTTGATATGTGGTGATTTTAATAATATTTAAGCGACTTTAAAAAACAATTAAAAATGTCCTTATATCTGCTCTGAATTACATTTAATAGAGTGTACTGTCAACATTGTACATAGTTCTTATAAAATGTTAAAGTTAAAGTTTAAGTGTTTGTGAGGACACCTAAATTCAATAAGTGATGTTGATGTTGATTAGAAAAACATTTCTTAGATACTGGAATGACATTGCAATGACTACATAAGGAAGCATAAGTAAGAAAACATGTATTGCACACTTCTATAGACACATGTACAACTCTGCCTACCTGTGCTCAGACTGAATGTGGTGGGACAGTCCTTTAACAGATCAGTCTTGAAAAACTTTGGGACCGTCTCTCTGAAGTTGTAGACTTTGACATTTCCTGAGAAAAGATCAGCAATAAGAATGATTGGCCTAAACAATCATTTCCATTTGAAAAAGATAAATGAGACCCACCTGTTTTATTTCTTATAGTGAATATAGACCCTCCTCCAATCCCCATGCTCTGTGGATTGACCACAGCTGTGCACAGAAGAGCTGCAATGGCGCCATCTACTGCTGACCCCCCTATCTGGAGCATGTTCCTGGAAAAAAGTCATTTTAATTGGATTTTCGGGAAGTGTGTGAACACACAGTCAGTCACTAATATCAGACTGCACACACATGTTTCCCCAACCACAGACATAATTGAACACATTTGTTTGATAATGGCATGCATCACATGTATAAATTAACCTCTAGGGTTCAATGATTTAGGAAGTCAAAGTATCAGAGTGCTGCCAAAAGGCAAGTTTAAACTTTGTGATTGCTTTGTATGTGCTTGAGCAACATACCATGAAGTCACTGGCCATGGTAGAGCTTTTTCATCATTAAATGATTCTTGAGGTAAATTACAACTGATTTGTGATCGGCTTATTAAACCTAATTATCCACAACAGAGCATATACATCTGTCCTTGTAAGTCTGATCCTTTTCTGAAACCTCTGAATGAGTCTTTTTACTGAGAAGTTGGCATGCATCAGATGTGTTCACCGAGCAACAAGAGATGGTTGTGTTGAGAATGTTTGGCTTTTCTTAGTCAGGCCAACTCAGGGCTTTGTAGTCTGAAGGGTTCAACGTCAGAGAAGGCAGAATGACAGACTAACGTTTCATAAATCAGTAGAATTTAATAAAATAATCTGATGTGAACAGTGTATACAGAACAATATTGCAATTGTTGATCCTTGCTTTATGTCTCTACACAGCAGATAAACAGAGGACTTTTTGAATGGGATAATGTCAATAAAGAGACAAAATCAAGTATAGGTTTTATATTTTTCGTGTAATAGTCTAACAACACTTATCTGGTGATTATATTTGTTTGTACTGTGTATTTGTTAATTTTTTTCTCCATACCTGAGATGGTGTGTAAGTGTGGGTAACAAGTGAGTTTGGAAAGAGTGGAGATCTGTCTGCAGACGGGAAACTAGCTCCTAAAACACTGAGGAATGTGTTATGAAAATGAAATATTTTGAGAGAATTTTAAAAAGCTGATTTTAAAAGATAACACCTGATTGATGCTGAGATGCCGCAGTTTGGTCCAACAACATGAACATAAGTGTTGAGGTTAGACACAATTGTTCTGTGACATAAATGTATTTTCGCTGTCCTGACAAATGAGTAAATATTGAAGTGGGAACGAAATCTAAAGACTTTGCTAAAATTGCTCTTCAACTCGACAGAGCATCTTTAGTTTGACCATAAAAAAAAAACAAAATAGGTCACATTGCCTCAGTGCATCGGAGCTCATTGTCTCTGTAGTGAACTGTGAAATGAACCCCTGTCCAATCTTGGCAGAGAACAATATACTCTGAATACAAAAGCCGGAAGGGCAAGCACTTTCCAGTGAAAACACCTTTCGACTATATTGGGACTTACATTGATGACAGATTGATTGAGTTCACATTTTGGCAAATCTTCCAGTCCATCAGAGAAAGAGCCAAGTCTATACTCTATATTACAAAGATTAGCATCAGTGAGTGGGTTTGGAGACCTGTTTTTATTTCCTACAATCACATTCAACAGGATGATTTATGAAATAAATCAACAAGAGGCGAGTAGAATCATGGCCTGTCTGCACACACTTCTGCAGGTATTATCTTTATTCTTCAAACAGAGCCTATCAAATCTCTTAAACAGCTTACCCCATTGCTCAGTTCAGCTTTTTATCTCACCCGCAGGAGCAGGGAGGTATAGCTTGATAGCCTACATAATTCTGAATAATTAAAGTCAGTATGTGAATAAAGAAACATGTAATTGGAAATAAATACATTATATCTAGTTACATATTAGTTAGTTTTTTTTTTATTATTATTATTTTGATTTTTGATTTTAGATACAGTGTGTCATGCAAAATAGTGTTCTGATTTATCCCAATCAAACAGAGTGTTTCCCCCCCTCAGGGATAAAGTGTCAGAAAGTGTGATTACCTGCCGATCTCGGAACAACGTTGAGAGTCTGCGGACACCGCAGCGCGCTTGAAGCTGCCGCCGGGACATCCTCCGTCCAGAAGTGAGTAGATGCACAGACAGATAAGGGGAACAGCGCAAATTAAACCAGCCAAGATAAAGCAGCACACCACCCAGGGCTTGTATTTAGCCATTAAACTTTTCTGTGTAAGGAAACTTTGCTGCTAAAGGAACTGTTGCTGCTGCAGCTCAGTGCGCACTTACGCTCAATGAACAGAGAGCTTTAATCCCCAGCGCTGGTTTTACCCCTCCCCTCCATATAACTGGCTACTATGCAAAGTTAAAGAACTCCAAGGGATGGAGTTGCTGGACTGTATAAACGCTGTAAATGAGCATAGTCTGTTTCTCTGACTCCAGTTCCCAGAACTGTGGAAATAACCATGATGTCAGGGTATTCCCAGTTGGTGGTATTTAATGCGTGGTTCATGAATTCATATGAATTCCTGTTGTTGCCCTCTAACATAAATCACTCTGGCTTTATGAGATTCATTCACACATAAGGTCCAGTGCGTGTGTTGGATTTAGTGGCATCTAGCAGTGTAGTTGCAGACTTTGTATGTACTGTATATGTTGCAGACAGTAGCCCTCCCTTCATCTTCTCCTTCCAAGTGCCCAGGAGAAACTATGGTTGTCCCTTCTGAGCAACTGTGCAACCACGGCGGTTTAACATGGCGGACTCAATGGAAGGCGACCCTCTGTGTCTGTAGTAAAATCTAACTATTCTTATTTTCACATGATTATAATGAAAATAAAGGCCTATATTCAATTTCTGCCAATAGTTCATTCTGAATGTTACACACTGGATCCTTAATAGATAATCAGTGTTAATTCATAGTTGATTAATACATTATTGATATGTGATTAACATGGATTGGCATGGATCTATGTGTGCCACTCTAGCTCTCAGTCTGGACACCTGACAAAGATTTGGCTGGGTGAGTTTACCTGAACAGTTGATTAACACAAAAGGTTCATTATGTAACGGTGTTTATGTAAATATTTGCATCCGGACAGTTTGGTTAAAACATATGAGAACAAGTACTGTACTGTTTTTTAGAGGGACTGAGCAAATACATGGGTCAACTAACATCAGGCTAACTTGATCACAAATCAGTGAATTTATAAATAATATTTCTCAACTGATGTCCTTTTGCGTGAGAACTAATCACATAAAGTCACAGTGGTGTAGTGTTCGTTTCACCACCGTCCTATTGTTCTATTATTCTTATTGTTTTGACCAAATTAAATTCAACTCTCTTGGGGAAACCCAATGTACTCACAATGCAACAAGGCAGGGAAATAACCTCAGCACTATTCAAAATATACACTATATAGACTATTGTATAGACTTAAATAATATTAGAATGTGAATAACATGGCATTTTGTTTTTGGCATATTTTACAAAATGAGGATATAAAATTGTGTTCTTCTTAAAAGTGAATTGACTATTTGTCAATGATGAGCAACAGCAATTCATGATACATCATGCATTAAATCATCATGAGTCATGTACCGCTCAGTATTTATACCCTTACTACTGCATTTTCTGTGTAATTGTGGTGAGTATCTAAAGTTCAATTCAATGTATGAAAGAAAATTGGTCTGTTGTTGAAATGTTTTATCAGCAACTTGACACACAGCAATTCTTTTGAACATGAACCGGATTTCACAGATGCCATGAATCAGTTTCACTCTTGCGCAACATTGCTAGAGCGTTTCCTGCTCTGTGCTTTTCCTGCAACATTTCCCACTATTCTCCAGCCATTGTACTGGATGTGACCTCTATGTCAGTGACACAGGACACAGGGGTCTTTTATCTAATGCCGCGCTGAAATCCTCCAAACAAGGACCATGTTAGACTTTGCCTGTAAAGTACTGTATCTGTAATTTAATTAATCTTAACTGTTTTACTGTCTTACACACAGTAATAAGGCCACATTAAACATTCCACACAAAATATTATATATACATTTTATATTTATTAATGATCAAGTGAGTAACGACCTGATAATGATCACTAATGGAGGACCAGTGGATAATGAACGTAAAAATGAATCATCAAGTAATGATTACTTACTAATAAATATCTGTGAATAGACATACTGACCTTTTTCTTTATGAGTTGCTCCTGATTAACTTAAGTAACTATTACTTAATAACTGGTAAGTATTTCTGTGCCCCCTCAAGTAAAGTGATAGTAGCTAAGTAATCTTATCTAAACTTATTACTTCATGATTATGACAAGTAGTTATAGAGCTTTTAAATTCTCCAGTAAAACTCTGCTATTTAATCACATTACGATTTAGAGTAAGTTTGAATTTCCTTTTGTCACAAATCATTTTAAATACTTAATAAATATTTTCAGGAATGAATGTACAATATAATGTTCTCTTATGAAGCAAAAACGTTCTACTTTCTCACTTTAACCCTCTTATCTTATGATAATAAAACCATGTATGATAGTCTATCACTGAGAGATACTTAAATAAAGCTACAAAAGGTTTTTTTTAACAAGAAAGCAGCATTTTGGGAATAAGTGAAGGATGAGATGTGTGTAAGTTATGTGAAGTGTGCAAAGTGCCGAGAGCAGTAAAACCAAATGCGCCTGTGACTTTAGTGTCTCTCAGTAAAAAAATAAAATAATAATAACAATTTAGAATAAAATACAATTTAAAGGTTTAATATTTGTTTATAATGACTAATTACTTTTACTTTTTTACTGGCAGTTTGATAATAACAGCATTCAACACGGCACAGTTTTATGTGGTTCTGATTGTTTCACTAAAGAATAACTACTAACTTCATTTCATTTTATTTTATATTTGAATTGATCTCACAGGACAAATCCCCAGACTTCTCACACATCTGTTGACTCAAGGCTCAAACTTGGTGGACTGTGCAGGAAACTGACAGCAAGTGTTTAAAACGGGAACTGCAGTCAAATTCAAAACATTGCAGCAAGCTGTCTTGCCTGGGTTGCCAGGTTGAGGACACTGAACCTACAACACATGACCTTCTTCCCTCAGTGGATCATCAGGTCAGCAAAACTTTTTTCAAATAAACATTTTTAATGTTTTAAAGAAGATCATTCCAGTTAGAGTTTACTCTGATTTATGTTTGTTATGTATATACTGTATGTTTATTTATGTTTTATTTGTTTTCGTACTTGAGTAACTCATGAACAATAATACAACAATAACTATTACTTTACTAATTATTACTTTAAAATTAACACATCAGTAAAGGTGAGTGTTTAGGTTGATGAAAGAAAGACCACATTAACGTCATTAACTATTTTATTATTCATTTGTATAAATGTCCCATTTACAGAGCAATACAGAGAATACAATGTCCATAGACATTAAATGGGATTTGTAATAAAACTGAGTTGTTGATAATTGTTGTGACAAACACGAGTTACAGTTGTGAAAAATATCTTAGAACTAACCGTTGTACAAAGTATATGACTAAACTAATGATACCAGCAATATTAAGATCAGTAATAATAATAATAATAGAACAACAATAATAAAATATAGTAATCAAAGATTTCAGCTGTTATTACTAGTGTCGAGATTCAAGTAATTCTTACCATAATGGAACTGCAATATAACTCAAGGCAGTGTAATGACCTTACTGGAAAAGCAATGCAAAAAATGCCCTAATACAGATATAAATTATTATATGAAACAACATGAGGATTATAAAGTGAGTCTGGGCACAGGTTTGAGGCTCTTACTCCAGTGGAAGCTGCTGCTCATCAGTCTGTCTGGCTCTGTTGAGAATAATTAGACAAAGACTGTACTGTTACTGTGTTACTGTGGACTAGTTCTTGAACAAAGAGAGTTGAGTGGAGAATTAGGCTACCCTATAAAGTATCCACTCTATTATATAAACAAGATACATTTGCACTGATAAGACTACATTATGACCCCCTGGGCACCCTGGTGGTCATAATGTTATGCAGCCCCATACCAACAAACTGTGATGCACTGTTTGTTCTGACACCTTTCTATCAGAACCAGCATTTACTTTTTCAGCAGTTTGAGCTACAATAGCTCGTCTGTTGGATCGGACCACACAAGCCAGCCTTCACTCCCCAGTTGCATCAGTGGACCTTGGCCGCCCATGACCCTGTCTCTTGTTCACCGCTTTTCCTTCCTTGGACCAACTCACTGTTTGCTTCCATCAGGTTTCGTCCTGTCTGGTTGGTCCTTGTGGTTGTTGTAGTCTAGTGCTGCCAGCAGGGTTCTGCCTCAAAGGCGGGATGGCTGAATCACACAGCGGTATGTGATTGTGGACAGACTCAAGGTCCACTGGAGATCTGTGAAGAAATACAACCATGGGTCAAGATTTAGTAATTTCATTTATTTAGCTTTGTATTCTCGTTGTTCAAAAACAAACACACATATTAACTAAACTTCAGATACATATGAATTTACTTCAGCCAATGCTTGTTCCTGATGATATTCTAAAGAGCTTCATGAGTCAATTAACCTCTTATGAGCCTCTTATGAGCCACTATGTCCCATTGCGTTAATGCAGTCATGTTGGCAATCCAATCTATGTTCATTTGTCACATGGAGAGCAGTCCCAGCCACAGCTCCTGGAAACTTAAATACACATAAAACCCTTTCTGTCATAAAGTTGAGTTTATTACATCCTGTGATGATGAATAAATATATTTGCTGTTTAATGTATCTACAAAATAATTTACTAAAAACAGCTGGTCTGTACACTGCATAGTACAAATGTTTTTTATTGGATAAGATAGAGAAATAGCTAATACAGGGGTGGGCATCAGTAACGTTTGTAGAGTACTTTTGATTTGGATGTAACGTTATTGATAAATCACATTTTGCCAATTGAGTCAGTTTACAGTCGGACTTATGTTTCTGTCATGCTGGTTGTTGTCCAGTACGCTCCTCTGTGTGTAAGATAGCGGTCAAACTACTCCACAGCCTGCATGAAATCTGAGTAAGGCTGAGCCCATGGACCAAACTATAATACTCCAAAAATAAACATCTCCTGAGCACCCTGAGCTAAACAATGCTCATCTGCTCTGAGCAGGTGTTCTAAGCAAACTCAACATCAGTCTTCAAGTCCTTTCTGGTCCTGTTGCTCTTTAGAAAGAGGCAGAGGCTGTTTAGGTTGGACAGACTCCAACATTATCTATGCTGATCCTCTGGCTGCAGCTCGCTGTGTTGCGCAGAAATTAGGTTCATACCTGGCAACCCGGTGTGTCAAAACAGGCAGTCCAGTCAGAACAATCACACAGGACAAAACATAAACAGAAATGTAAATTTAAAATGAGAATACACAACCAGTAACATTATTATTATTAAGATAGTATTTTAAATGTAACATGTTTCCTTAATGTCTGATGATTGTAATTTTATTTTTTAACATAGTAAATATATTGCATATTGTTCCTTTAAATGCAAGACATAATAAAATAATTCCACCACCATTAGCTGTGAAAGCTCTGTGCCCATACAGTACATGTCATACTCCTTTCTGCCTCTAAAAGCATCTTGAAAGTAAGTGTAATGTTGACGTCAGTGTCAGGTGTGACAAATGAGGAGTGCCTAAGTGAAGTGAGTGAGTCATAAGATGTGATGAGCTTGTGATCTCTCACTCACTTGTGCTGAGCTGGTTGACGAGGCTACACCAGGGCTACCAAACAGAATTAGATTTCTTTGTGTTTTTGATAATGCAACACATGTTGATGATCCCAAATCCCCTAAATTCTCCAGATGGCCAGTCTACCCTCAAGCTCTGTGAAGTGGCACAAGCCCAGACTGGAAACATGACTCTCATGAGAGCAATGCTGCTGCCAGCTCCTCATTTCCAAATACAAATAGAGTAAGTTAGCACAAAGATTACAAAGCACCACAGTTTCAGCCATGCAGGTAACTGCAGCAGTGGAAAACAAGACTGAGCATGTGGGCTAGATTACCAAGACTGCCAGCCAGGGTGGAGGAAAGACAATCTGATAATCCATCAGCTCATTACACATGATCACACAGGGTTAGCCTGTGGGGGGAAAAGACAATACAATGTGATATTTGAATGAACTGCTATAGGTGTTGCTATATTTTGACCAACAATTAGCGAATGTACTAGTGTTTGTGCTGGAAGTGTCTCAGTGTAATATACAAGTGTGTCAGATTCAGATGTCAGATCATTTAATTTTTAATTTTATTTTTTTAGCACTAACCCAGATCCCTTTCTTTTTGCTCTGACTGCTCTTTTTTATAGCCTCGGGTGGGCTGTAGCTACTGTCATGACCTGGCTCTTTTGCCATGACAAAGGCAGGGAAATGCACACAGTTGTACTGGGAAATCAGTCATGTTAAAGTTTAGAATTTGCTACAAAATACATTAACTAAATGTATGAAATGGTAAATCGGCTGATTAGTGTTGCTGAGTGGATGTTTGAATGTGTAAGTTCACCAAACAAGATAAATAGTGTGAGAAAGAGAAAGAGATGAAAGGAATGGGGACGCTGATCCTAAATGCATTCTTGATGGACTGGCCACATGCACTATTATTCTCTCCACCTATCTGGACCTGAAGAGAGACACAAAACACAAGCATCTGTCCTAGGGAAGATACAAACTGTGGCAGGGCCAGAGGGCCATTGACCTACAGTGCCGTCAATACTGCTCGACTGTCCCTGGTGGTCCAGTGTGGCAGTCACTGACCGAGGTGCTGAATGTGCTCTGGCAAAGGTGGCATCTACTGTCGCTGTCCAGGGTGCTGACCCTCCGGCAAACCATGGGTCCAGTGCCGCAAGAGTGAGCTGCTTTGACCCTGCCACTGCTATTTAAGTCAACTCAACTTTATTTATATAGCTCCTTTCATACAAACATGCAGCCCAAAGTGCTTCACATAACAAACTGAAACAAACGAAAACAAAAATAAATTATAAATTACATTTTGCAAGGCTGAATGAATACAGTAAAAACAGTAAAATGTAAAACATCAAAAATATAAAAGCCGATATATGAATGAACACAAAGGTGACAAATCATTTAAAAACCAATGATTAAAACCTGAAGGCTATAATATTACTTCAAAGTAAAAGCCAGATTAAAGTGATAGGTTTTTAATTTCCTCTTAAAAATACAGAGAAAGCGTTCTAATATTCAGGAGCAGTGAGTTCCACAGTTTATAGGCATAAAACACATTATTATGGGACACATTAGAAACATTTAAAAGAAAAGCAGTGAAACATTAGTGATTTGGTTATTTATAATACCTTTTAACATAATCTTGAATTGATAATTAGTTTACACTAAGCTGTTTTAATTAACCAATATTAACTACAACACTAATCTTGCCTGTAAGAGCTGCAGGATGTTTAAAATTTATCTTCTGAGAAGTTTTTTTTTCTCTCATTAATGGTTTTAATTTAGGAGATTTTCCTTACGTGAATCAAGGGTCTAGGGATAAAGGATGTCAGATACCGATTATAAAGGCACATTTTGGATTATACAAATACCGACTTTATCTGACTTAGTGCAGATGGTAAGGGTGTAGCCAGACTATATATAGTGTCTACAGTATGTTTAAAATGTATTGTGTGGTGTAAATTAATGATGCATACATTCCATAAAGAACAATTTCAATTCATGAGGGATTGCACATTGATATGATTTAAATGCATTCTGTCCAGTGCTGCCAATGGCCAGTTAAAACTTCAACACAAGGGGGAGATGGTGTGTATATTTTCAGTCCTATCATCGCCAGTGAAACATCATCACTAATGTATAGGTTCTGGTACCATAATTTCAACTTCATTCAGACAGAAGCAGTTTGGCGAAATCAATAGTCCATTAAAGAGGATTCCAGCAGTGAAGGTTTAGGTAGGTGGTGTGATGAAGTTCCAGATCCCTGATGATATAAATCTTCAGTCAGTTTTTATTTTTTCACATTGCTGGTATGCTTCTCTCAACCAGAAAAACACATTATCGTGAAATAAGTCAGCAGCAGAATCACTGGGACTCAACTACTTGAACTGTACAACAAACGTGCTAAATAAGGCAGAATGTCTGACAGTACTCACCCCCTGCACTCAGAATTTAAGCTACTACCGTCTGGTTCCTGCCTCAGACAACCACCAGCCAAAACTAACAGATATAAATTCTCTTTCATACCCTCTGCTATTTCTCTCAACTCTGTGAATTGTTAAAATCAGCCTGTTCTGTCAATAATGTGTACTTGACCTTTTTTTTTATGTGGTTATGTATGCGTAGCTGTCCCCATTTTATCCGTATGTTTCTCCCTGTGTTGCTGTTGTTGTTTTGTTATTTATTTATTTTTTTTTGCCACTGCAGCAAAATTAATTGCCCCCCAAATACAAATAAAGGTCTTGAACTTGAACTTGAACTCAGTGATGAGGAGCAGACCCGAAGGTTAAGGCAGCATGCAGTGGATGGTAGGGAGCAGGGAGACACCAGTCCTTCCAGGCTGTAGTTTGCTTTGCTGCCACGATTGTTGTGGGTCGTCACAGTGTATGAAGTACCTATTTCAAAGGTAGTAGAGAAGCTAGACAGAATTAGAAAGTGGCTTGGAGCCCCACAGTACCTCAGCAGTGTGACCTTGTATGGAAAAAGGATTTTGGAGCTCCCTATAACCAGTTTAACAGAATAAATGTGAAAAAGCGAGGCCGTAGATGACGCATTCAGAGTCTAGAGATGTAGCAGTACAGAATACAGAGCCAACCATCACAGCAAGGACAAGCAGCATTTTGACATATGGATATGGTAGGGCAGACATGGGTGGTGGGTAGGCTATTAAGCATAGAACAATCTACATGGAGCAAAACAATTGCAGTTGGCAGGAGGAAACTGGTTGTAGAGGAGATTCAGAGGCAAGAAAAGGCTGCTATGTGCAAGTCCCTCAGGAAAAGCAGGGCCAAGTAATGAGTTGGGAAAGTGTAGAAGAGAAGAAACTTGGTTTGAGGGAAATGTGGGGAAAGGAAACAGGCAGGATTAGATTCATGAAATTTATCATGTTCTTCACTCCCCTTAAAAGTCATAGTATATGGTTTAGTGATGATATGTCCTTTATGTTTCTAGGCATTAGCTTCACTTTGATGCATTCTGTTCAAGTGAAAAATAAAGCTTGTCTTAAGGGCAAACAACTGGAGACATGCCAAAGAGTCAGTAAGCAGCTATTTAGAGTCTCTCTAAGGAGTAAACTCTTGGATGAAAGAAATTACATTTTGTTTGTTTATAAGGGTGAACACATCAGGCAGCAAGCCATTTTAAACAAGCATGATGTAGGGCAGCTAAAAGCCTGAACACAGAAAACTGAGAGTAGATTTAAGTCCCTGAGTAAATAACTACCACTAATATGAAACCAAAGAAACACAGTTTGTTGTGTATTTTGTGGAGCTGACAGTAATATGTGAGGATACAACAGAAATGGCCTATGAGAGGAAGAAGCTTAGATATAAAGAGTTGGCTGCAGAACCAGAGGAGCGAGGTTGGAAACCTGAGATCCAGCCACTGTAGGGGTTTTGTTGGCAGATCTGTTTTTGACCCTGTTAACTCAACTTGCTATAAGAGGGCAGACCCAAAAGCAGGCAGTGGAAAATATAGCTGACAATGCAGCCAGTGCTAGTTGTTGGCGGTGAGATAGAAGAAAGGTGAGTGACTTGGATGACAGGTAAGAGCAGAATCTGTAATGTTAACTCATGATGCTGTAAACAGAAGTGTATGCTTTGGTGATTGCCAGAAGTGTAGATGATTGATTGTATGGTGTGCCGGGCAGTAAACTGCTATGTTAGTTTAGCACACTGTTAGTTGTTGGTTTAACAGGTTGTTTGGTTCATTTGGTAGCTCAATAGGCATGCTAATTAGCCTGACATATTGTTAGTCTAATGTGGTGTGGTAGGTAGGAGTGTGATTTGTTGCTCACTTTAATGAGGTAGCTGAGGGTGATTGTTTGGCTGGTGTTTGGTGAGCGGCATGCTGGACAACTTGACATGGTGTTAGAAGGTTGTAGTTGGTTAGCATGCTGTTAGACGGTGGACAAAAAGTGAATATAACCTGCAGCGGAGGGCTGTGTTGAGTGTGTGGGTGCAGGTAAAGAAGGAAGTGGTTGTTGAGAGGGTGCCCACCTGATGACCCTGTAGACTTATAATCACACACAACTTAATTTTAATACCATGTCAAGAGATATCATTTAAGAAGAGTTTTCATAGGGGTTGCTTATCATTGGCTATATCATGGTGGTTGAACAATTGAACAGGCTATGGTGTTCACTGTAGTTTTATCTGAACAACTACAGTGTAGATATAAGGCTGGGTCATGCTGCAAAGTATTTGGTCTTTGCTTGGGTGAGAGTATAGGATTCAAGAAAATGAATATTAGGCTTCCATAGGAATGATTTTGTTGTAAATTGTTAAGAGATAATTAATACAAAGTCTAATAATATTAAATATCTAATATAAGATTACAAATTAAAGCATCTAGACAGAAGTACTTGTCTCATTCTCTGTGGGACGAATGTATACCATTGCATCTGTTATAGCTGAATTTGTGCACTGCAGGGATTTTAAAGAGTAACTAATGACCTTTACACAACCTGTAAATAAAAAAAACCTAGCCAGGAAACACATGCATATTAATGTTAATTATTGTTGCATTAGCTTAGTGTCACAGAACTATTCTTTTCAGCGCAACATAGTGTGGATGCCTGCAGCACTGCATTGTAATCACAAGAAGTCAGATCATTTACTTTCAATTATGAAGCCAATTAATCTCAGTAAAATATAAGTCAGTGTGTCATAATGTATATCTTCATAGTCGAGAAGCACACAGAGATGTTGCTGGAGCATATTTTACAAGGATACCATACTGTAGGTCGTTGTGTTCCTATAAATAGTGCATAGTTATTATTCTGCCCTCCCTGCGTCAAACCAAACCCCCCACCCACCCATGCCAGCCCCTATTCACTCAAATCCACCATCCTACAGTACCGTACGTGTGCACTGCACCTTTAGTGCATGGGATCTTTCAGTCAGAGGCATCTTTTCAGCTGACTGTAACCTTTACATTCTTCAGGAAAATGATTCATGGTCCCTAACAGTTATTTGTCTCGTCTTTGCTAATGCGTAGTTTGTGTCATATAATTGCTAACATGCATTACAATGCACTCGGAGGCTGATAGATGAGTGACCAAAATATTGTTTTTGTTTTTCTCTAAGGCATAAATGGTTCCAAAACAATTTTCATCTGGCTGAGTCACCACTGAAGAGCAAAAAACAGAATGGAATGTAACAGAGGAGCTGGGGAAAGACAGACGTGCACATTGAAGATAATTTCTGCAGTACATGCTTAAAAAAACAGCTAAAACAGGTATGAAAGGCATAGTTCAAACATTTATCAGAAATATTGTCTTATGTTGTTGAACTCCAGCAACTGAAATTGTTTGTTTTACTATATGACTTCTACATGGGAATTTCAATTGATTTTCACATGTGTATGGAGAACAGGAATCAGAATAAATATAGAATATAGCATATTTGCATACAGTTCTTCTATGTGAATATGTTCAATTGAGGTGAACACCTAATATGAGTGCTTCTTATCTAGACCCAATGTAACCATAAAATCCATATAAACACAACATTTGTGCTTAGAATTAGAGCTCCAATTACTGCATTTGTTCTTTCATTAGTAAAAATTCACCAACAAGTTGCAGTAGTCTTTATTTCACCCCTTTTATCCACCACATTCAAAGTGAAACACACCCGCTGTGTCTGGTAACAGTAACACTGATTGAACTGCACCAGCCCTCCATTTACAGAGATGAAACCATTATTGGAGTGGGTGGAAATTAAGCAGTTTAAGCTCAAAGGAATTAACACCTCCTCATACAGCTGAGGCTGATTGGAAATAAGCACATGAACACATCACCCTGTCCTCTTACCCATCCATTCAGAGAGTAATTTCAAGAAAATGGATGCTTTGTTTCTGACAGTTTGTTAGTCCAATGTGCATAATGAGCTATCAACTAGATTACGCTTTAACACGCCTGTTGTGTTATAAACCTTTCTTAACTGTTTCGCCGCTTCGTAACAGTGCTGACTGTGAGCTGCAGTTAACAGGTTATCTTCCCTGTAATGCGATAAAGCTCAATTTAATGATAAACACTGACTGTGTTTGTTTTACTTCAAATCACTTTGGCAGTAACAACCCATTGCATTTTGACTCTGCAACTAACATTTATCTTCCAACAGAAAAATTATCTTGTTTAAGACCCTGTGGTGACATCGTCGCTACAGGTACATTTTAAAAAAACGGCTTGCTGAGATCAGCCTGATCTCCCCAAAAGCACCAGGCACACATCCACATCCATCACAGACCCCAGGCTCAGACTGTCAACTGCACCTGGTCTTCTTATATGTGCCTTGCAGTAATGTACCACAGATGGCTTACTTTGCCGTTGGCGAGTGCAATAAATGTGTAAATGTTAAAGTATATACAAAATGTTAATACAAAAGGAATTGGGCAGGAAAATCCTTAACCTAACATGTTTATAGCTTCCTAGGAAGGGTTTTGTGACTCTCTCGGGAAGGAACGCAGACTGTAGAATGAATAACAATGGTTGTAAAAGTCGGCTTCCACAGTATTTTGGTTGGTTCACGTGAAATAAAAACAATTGCTGGCACTCGAATGGTGTGCAATTTCCTTCCTTGTCATGCACATTTAACCAGTTTGTGATGCCACATACTGCAGGTCTGGTCCTGGGTGGAAAACTGTGAACGTCATGTCAGGAAACCAGATATGTCTGGTGGTGGGAGATGTAGACTGCAGGGACTTAGATACAAAGAGTTACACTGTTAAGATTTTAAGTGACACAAATATCCAATATTTCCAATTGATACAGGTACCAAAGACACATACAGACATGCATTTTTGTTTAGTTCTTTTGTAAAAAGAATTCAGATACTAGCATTGGTGAGCTAAAAATACAGCCATAGTATATCCCAGAATAAAACATATTAACGACTATAAATAGGTTTTTTTAGTTATTCTCTACTCAAAGTAATTGAGTATTTCAAATAATATAAAATAAATAAAATAATTATTTTACTGACTTGTCAGTTGTAAAAAACTCACAAAACTCAACTCAACTCCCAAAAGTTGATAAAACCAATTACATCCATACTTCTTTGAAATGAACCAGTGCCCAGATAAACAAAAGCCTCCTCGGGCCTCCTCCTCCTAGAGAGATTACAAAGAGAGGAAAAGGAAAAACATCAGAGAGCATGTTAACAGTAAACCAGTAAGTGGAAATACTCCGAATTTTCACGAGGAGCTGGGATGCAACCTCTAACCTGTGAACTACTACACACAGAAGAAGAAACACCCAAGGAAACCTCACATGTCCTAATGATTACTGTCATTTGGCTCCGACCCAAACCTTTATAACGTTTATGTAAAGACTGCTTTGTTGTTCATAACACACCTCCCTCATGATCCACTGCTATTTACTGACTTGTTTATACTCAAGACGATGCAAAATGCTCTAGGTCCTAGGACATCTCAATAACTGTAATATGTAATGTTTAATACAGTTTAATACAGCCACAGTCCACACCACCCTTTCCACTTCATTCACTTTGCCCTCTCACATGTATAAAGCATGTCAATGTTTTCTAATGACTGTGGGGACTGAAAATCCATTGTCAGGCTAGAAAGATGTTACGTAGCATTTTACATGTAAGGTGAAGGTTAGATTCAGTTGGCTACACTAACTGAATATTTCAATCCCATTTTCAGCCATGCATTTTCTCCACGGCCAAGGGCTCAGGATGTTGTTACTTTTTTCAATCATCAGAGTAGCTGTGAGTGTCACAGACTAGCCCTCCTCCATCCTGCCGGGCTGACGGTGCTGTTGAGTCTGACACTGGATGATTTAGGGGAAGATGGGCCTAAACAGGTCAGTCTCCACACCTACCCCATGAGCCCTGTTTGGGAGTAAGAAGATATGTTTTCTTGCTGACTTGTACCAGAGGAGGGACTAGCTGGAGTATGTGGCTTTCTGTCATTTTGATGAATTTCTAAAACATGTGCTTTATTTGTATACCTATGTGATTTCTCCTTGTTAATCCGATTATTAGGAAAGCGACAAGATGGCATTATATATATATTTTTTTCCTTAAAGTTTTCTCGTACCATCAAATGGCTTCACTTTCAATGTGCACGACTATGTTTGCACTTGCCAGTAAGTCATCTGGTGCACCCCTGCTATTAGCCTTGTCGCCCCCCCGGATATTTCTTCGAGCTCCGACACTGAAAACAGCCCTGACAACGCCATCTGTGAGAGTAGAGAATAACTTTTTATTTGCTGCCTCTGCCTTCGTCCATGACCATTTTTCCAAATGCTATAATAACATAATGATATGCTGATAGCACCAAATGTAATATAGATATCCAATGTTAATGAGAGTGAGACCTTTGCTGTTGTTTGTAGTGCATATAGGGAAAAACAGCCCTGACGACGACAACAATGTAGATTAGCATTAGCAACTGGCATGAGAGTTGGCATAGGGAGCAAATCTTTAATTAACTTTTACTTCTGCAGTAAAAGTATCCTGACAAAGTTTGAAAATCTAACTCCAAACGACTCTCAGCTGCTGCGTCGGACTATAAAAAGAAGCGTCAAAAATGATTCGAGCAGACCTCCCAGCACTTCATGATAGATTCAGACTTCTGTTCTGAGCAATGACAACCTCATCATACACACTCAAACTGAATTTAATCAAGTGTTTTTTGGACAAATTCTGTTCCATTTCATCAATGTTAGAATTCTTATTGGTGATTTTTTATTTTTTTATTGGTGTTTTATTTGTCCTCTTTTTTTCAGGCCATTGTGTAAATATGTTTTCCTGTTGAACTAGTTGTTGGCCACTCACACTGAGATAAGTTTAATGCACACTCCATAAGGGTTTTGCATAATTATCAATATTTCAATTATACATGAAGAAACTGTGGTTGTCCTTTTACTTTGGATAGTTCTATCACATGATGGTCTTGCAAACCTGCATGACAAAAAGTTAAACATATTCCAGGAACTGTAGTGAAAGTTATTTAAGACGGACTGACTGACCTCATGGATGAATATTTGATTATTAAATGAGCTGCGCTGTGGTTCAGTGGAGCATTCAGTTAACTGCAATATCAGTTTATTGACAGCATGGCTTTCATCTGAACTTGAAACTTGAGTTTTGTCAAAGTATCAATTTCTAGGTTAATAGTTGTTCCATGTGATCCTGATGGTCTCATTTTAGTGTTGATATTATGTCCTACACAAAGTCCTCATTAGATGAGTGGGCAAAATGTTTTGATGATTCAGATGAGGGAGCTCTTTCTTCACCTTGTAGGCCCCAAGCTGCTGTGTGGTTAATTATTTATCCCACTGATGAATCTTTCAGTAATACCAAACTGTGCCGGGGGACAAGGTTAATAGGGAGGCAAGATGTGATCAGAGAGTCAGGGAGGATTTCAGGATTTAAAAAAAAAAACTGTCCCGTGTCACTGCAGAAAGTACATATATAGGATATATAAGTCAGCTTTGTTTGCATTTCTACTTCAAAAGTGATTTATTCTAGGATGAAATATTAAAATTATGAAGAGTACCACAAAAATGTCAAAACATATGTTTCAATTTTGCTCACAGTTAAAATTCTGATCTTTTCCCCTACAATATATGTCAGTATTTCATGCTTTATTAATTTTTATAATGTCTTTTATTTGATCAAAGATGTTATTGTCTGGAGTCTGGGGTCCCTCTCTCAGCTGGTCCATGCACTCCTGTGGTCCAGTTTGCAATAACCTTTTTCTTGAATTAGATTGTATTAATATTTAATATTTTATATATGCAAACATGTTTACAGGTCATTCTTAACTGGCTTCAAAACTCCAGAATAAGTGAGCAGGTGGACCTTCTTCTTGTTTTGTCTAAAGCTCATTATTCTTCAGCCTGGGCATCAACCGTATACTGCGATATTACGTTGCATATGTTCCCAGTAACTGTGCTGCTTGTGAAGAGCAGCAGCTGTGTGCTTTGCAGCGCTTGCCATGAAAAGTTAGTTTTGCCATCTGACTGTGCTAAGTGTTGGAGTGGGTGATGTCGGGGTGGTAGGGTTTGGGGGGTGGGGGATAAATGCAAAAATAGAAAGTGACATGGCCCGCAAAAGAGTTCTAAAAAAAAGAAAGAAGAAAACATTTTTAGCATCATCTATTTAAATAATTTCAATTTTTTTCTCTAGTATATATGTTATGCTAGTATTTAGTATGTTTATATTGTTTATTACTGCACACCACATTTTCCTGTTGTTTTTATTTTATTCTCTGTCTCTGTGGACATTAAATGGGCCATATTGCACCCTGAGGCTTGTATGTCCCCTGCTGCAGCCCAATGTCTACAGAAGGGGAGTGCAAAATAGAGAGGGAGGGGCATATGAAGAGCAACATATAAAGAAAATGCTAGAGATATAATTTTTATTTTTAATAAGCAAGTTTCAGCCATTTTTTTAAAAGAATGACATAATTCAAAGTTAAGGTCAAAACATGAGGATTTCTATTGATTCATCATAAAAAAAGGAGAGGATGTTGATAAGATAATGTGGTTACACCTGATAATGACTGTACAGACTAACAATGGCTTAGCGTTGGTGACACTTGGCTGCACTTGATGAGATTCACAGAGGAGTTAAAGCAAGCTGATGTTGAAGTGTGTGTGTGTGTGTGTGTGTGTGGGGGGGGGGTATAGGCGCAATGGAGTGAAGATATTTTGCCTCTCCCTGGAGCAGAGGAGGCAGAAACACAGATGTCAGAGAACAAAAATTCCCCAGAGAGAAGAGGGCAAAAATCTGCTCATTTCTCCGCTTTGCACTATGAAACACAGTTCGTGAGAGAGAGAGAGAGAGAGAGAGAGAGAGAGAGAGAGAGAGAGAGAGAGAGAGAGAGAGAGAGAGAGAGAGAGAGAGAGAGAGAGAGAGTGGGAGAGAGAGAGAGAGAGAGAGAGAGAGAGAGAGAGTGTGTGTCTAATTGGCTCTGTATATTAACATCATTACATACTTTTTGCCCTGCATCCCTGGACATCTGCTGTGAGAATTATGACCCTGGGTGTGCAGATGGGCTGAGACTGAAAGATTGTCACGCTTTTATTTTCCTCTTTCTTTTTTTTTTTTGTTGCCTTTTGAACTTTGCTGTTATTATTTTGAGTTACACACAGTCAAATGTTCCATTATATTCACGCCTTGGCACCATTGTTATACTCAGATTATGCAATGTTGTTTGTGCGGGTAGGATAAAAATGTTTTTGACTCATGCAGGCAAAAGTTGGAAAGCTAACTGAGTGTGAATTTTTATTTATTATCACAAGTTAAAATAAAAAAATATATAAAAATAACTGCAGAAATGAATGGGCAGGGGAAGAGACTATTAATTACCTAGATAATATAGTATGTATAAAGTATATGAGGCCAAAGTCTTTTGCTCAGAGGGATTTGAAGGAAGATATTTTAACCAAACAAAGAGAAATTTAGGACTCCTAACAACTGAAAATGTACCTCTCAAATATCTTTGTGAAGGTGAAGATGATGATCAGGTGGATTGTTGTTTTTTCTGATTTCTTTCAAATCATTTGTCTCAAAACATCCAACATGGCCACATGACAATAAAACAATGTTGTTTTATTTTACTCTTTAAGATTTACTTCTCTCTCTTTTGTGTATCTCAGTTCACTAGTTGGTTTATCCCAAATGCTGACTAATAATTAGATTGTGCCTCAGTTTTAATTCCAAAAAGGTTATGTTATAGCTCAAAAGACTTACTAACTACTGAAGTAAGTGAAATTATTTCACGTTGTCATCCTTTTGCTCTTTTATTTACACCTTTCCGTAAGCTAGTCTATTCTACGTTGGTCCAGAGTCTTCAAATTGTGTTTAGTTCATGTTAATCGGCTCTAATATGCTTTAGAAAGAGCTCAGTCCACTGGTGTTAATGTCAGCAGAAACTTGTTGAACTTGTGAATCTTTGTGGGTCTAAAATGTGTCCATTGATGCTTGTGATATATTTAAAGGTGTGTTTTTTAAAAAACATGTTAATCAGCTCGTAACAGACGCGCAAACAGTAGTCCTGCAGTAACAAAACAGACAGCAAATATTAATCAAGCAGGCTCATTATGCGAGAAACGATCCGCAGTGACGTGGGTCTTAATGAACTGTGCGCGTGGACTGCGTGTGACACGCGGCAGCGCAACACAGTGCTGTCATCCAAACTTAGCGGAGCCCCCTGTGAAGCGTCAGACTGACCGCCTGGCAGCCAGATCAGGCTGTGCGCTTCATCATCTACCGCAAATGCAAAGTCAGGTAGCTGCTTCTTCATCACCGCGGACTGTGACAGTGATGGTCCAGAGTGTGGATGTGGATTAGGGAGCTGGGGTCCGACTGGCTGATGCTGAACACCTGCACGTGGCGGAGGACTGCCTTCTTTTTGCTTTGCTCGACCTCCAGCCTCCAGCGGCTCCATCACTTCGCCTGTCAAGCGAGAGAAAGAGAACGATGAGCTCTTCTCTCCCCAAAAGCGAGTCCGCCACTTCTCTGCTGAGACCATCGGGGCTCAACCGCAGGTCCGGGCACTCCAACAGTGGTCCACGGGATCACCGGAGCCACCGCACTCACCATCATCCCGTCGGAGCTGGAGGCAGCGACGATGCAGGTTGGACGGAGGAGAGCGACACGAGCGCACGGAGACCTCTCTGCCAACCAAGGCACGCCGACTCTCGAAATGTAGGTGATCACCGGGTGCAGAGAAGCCACTCTCACCGGCAGACGAGCCCCATGGATGATGGTTATGCTAATGAGGATGTGAGACACAGGACGAGTCGGCATCAGAAAGAGCGCAGCAAGTCCACCAGGTCCAAACACCCCCATCATCACCATGACTCCTCTCGAGGTGAGCTGCCTCCCGCAGCGCATCACCAGGGCGGCTCCCGGCAGGACAGGAGGACCTCTCCAACGCAGTCTTATCCAAAGCAGCAGGACGACGCGGCTTTCTTCTTCGAGACCAGGGAAAGAGTGATCACGGGGTCATCCTCCAGTCTCAGCTCTGACCCACCTGCCACCAGCGCACCTGTCCAGCCCGCAGCCAGCCGCACATCCAAAAGACTGAGCGCAGCCGCGTCTGAATATGACTCTAGTCTTCATCCCATAGTGAAGTCAGTCTTTGGGCAGGTAAGTGGACATTGAGAGGAAATTTTACTTTTGGGGAAAAAAGTAGATTCAAAGCACAACCGAAGGTGCAAAGAGTTTATTCCTATTCTTTTTGATTACCAAATTAACATCTGAGTTTTCTGCCATTGTAATGTATCAAAAAAAAAGTCAATTTGAACAGTGTCCTATTGCTCAAAGCTCACTCATGCACTGTTAAATGTGTGGGTGTTTTGTCGTGTAACACAATGCAAAGGGCAAAATTTCAAGCTGTAAACAAATCATCAGTAGCATCATGAATCAAGAATCCAGATTCAGAGCATTTGGTGCAAAATGTCAGTAATCAGTATAGTTTGATGTACGTTGTTTTCAATTATCTTCTTGTCCAATAAAAAAACAAACAAACAAAAAATGTTTTATATGACACAGAGGCTCTTTAATTGAAAAAGCGAAGTTACACATAACCCCCTGAAAATAAAGCTGGTTCAGGTACAATGATGCCAATATAGAGACCTTTGCTTTAATATAAGCACAGTTATCAATATTGTTTAGTCAAGTTACATTTATTTTACATTGAATGTCTCAATGGGCTTTAAAAAAAACTCTCTAGCCTTGCCGTGGAAAATTTGGGAGAGGCATTTCAAAGAGAGATCCCCCTCCACGGACAGCTGGGGGTGCAATTGGAGTAGGGGGGAAAGCAACTAAAAATAAGAGAGCCAAGTCAACTCTCAGTCAACATTATGTCCATATCATGAACAAAGTGAGAGTTTGATGTTCTACTCTTTTACTGACAAATTCACTGTAGTGTGGAGGCTCATTAAAAGTGTATCGCAGCTACAGAGCTGGTTAATCGACAGCAGGTTGGAGGTTCACAGGTGAACCCTCGAACCTATTAAAGCCATGTGTGTGACCCCAGTTGAGCAGATTAAAAATGGATGCATGTATTCAGTCCAAATCTGGCTCCTGTATGTATCTGGTATCCATCAGTGTCACGCCGGGCAGAAGGGGGGGGAGGGGGATGCTGGTCTGTCATGCATCCTAATATGAATACAGCCGCTTTCATTGTGACTGTCACCTGAGCAACAGCAGGGGGATCAACTTTCTCGCTGTGTGGAAAACTTTTCAATGACGAGAGCTTGTCACTCACTCACACGCACACACACAGGTAAGTAAACAATTTATATACACATTGAGGTGATAAAACATCATTCACCTCAAAGACATTTACTGATACTGTGGTGGGTGAGGGTCAAAGGCAAATCAAGGGTGTATCTCTTCTTCCCCGCATCCCCTGCTCACCTACTAATACACCAGTTTTCTTCGAGGTACCGCACGTCTCCCGTGACTCCATGCAGTTGTACAGTTCAGTGGCTTGTCTATTCCCTCCCATTTCTTTTCTTGTTTCATTGAAACCCTTCCCTCTGTGATAAAAAGCTCAAGAGGAGACAATTACCTCCCCGAACGCTAATGTGTTACAGAAATAACTCCTCTCAATCCAGGCCAGAGCTTCAATCAGTCTTAGGGGTTCCAGTGAGGCAAAATCCATGCAGCGGTGTGCTATATAAAGTCTCTGGAGCTGCTGCTGCTGCTGCTGACGTGTGTGGAAATAGCAGATATTTTGGCATTTCCATCAAATCTATAAATGATCAGATGAGCAGAGTGTTGTGTTGTGTATTTGAATAGTTATGTTGGCAAATGTTACTGCAGTTGAGAGGTTTTTTTTGGGTGAGAGGAATGTGAACTATAGATGAAACAAATAACAGGATTATGCAGTTATGAACTCACATTAAACACATCCAGTCAAAGGTTTAGACACTACAAAGTTTGTGTGTTTTCTGTGATATTGTCACTGTGAAGTTAAGTCACATCACAGCTGTTGGTAGTCAAAATAGATTCCTGAGAGGTGGTGCACACCAGTGTTTGTGTGAAAGAGAGAGAGAAAGGACGACTGAGGTATGTGCGAGAAAGAAAAGAAAGAAAGTGATGGAAGAGTGAATAAAGCTGAGAGAGTTTGTGCATGCATATTTTTGTAGCTGCTCAGCATCTTACTAAAGCCTTTTTATTTTAGTGACCACGCAGTCATAATAACATGCCGTTAATGCTCCTTGAATAGATGTGGCAGCCAGTGCAGCGTAGAATGCGGGGTGAGATATTACACACCACAAATGATTTCATTTCATATTTCTTATGTAACATCAAGATCTGCATACAATACCACTAGGACTCATTCGCTGCCAGTGGAGGAAGCTATAAATAGCCAATCAAGACCTGATTATGAGAGACTGGAGGAGGGCAGTGTTTTTTTTTTTTTTTTTTGTCTTAGTAAAAATATTCCAAATCCTTTGGCAAACATGTTACCTGACAGAGGAAATGTTTGAAACTGAGTAAAATAGACCTACTTTTCAGCATGTGCCGACATGTTTCTCCAAGCTACACTTTCATATTCATTAGATGAATCATGATTACCAAAGATGCTAGTGTGGGGGTTAGAATAAGGACAAATGTGAATGTGGTTAACTGTTCCGAATGTGTTTTGCAGCTTGTTTACAGATACATTGTGAAAATGCATGTATTTAAAGCAGACGTTCACTGTAGTTAACAAAACTCCCATTATTTCTGCACATTCAGTCTTTTAAACCTTCCAGGTTGCACCAGACACCTTGACCAAGGACAGAGCATGAGCAGTGTTTTTGTCCCAGCAGAAATTCAGTTGCTATTTTAAGAGATTCTGAACAATCACCACATCCTTCAGTATTTCTGACCTTAAGTGACCTTGATTCACAAACCCTCACTGGAAATCTGGAGATGCGGTAGAGACCTGTTATCGAAAGACGTGTGATATCTGCTGCTGAGAAATTGTAATTGAGGCGATGGCAATTTTCTTTTCAAATTAAATTTAGATGAAAGGATATGTATGTTAACCAGCAGAGGGAGCAAGTACCATTTGCACTAATAGGACTGAACTCAAAGTGTGTGTGTGTGTGTGTGTGTGTGTGTGTGTGATAGAGAGGAAGAGATTAACAGTCCAGTGTGTGTCACATCAGTTAGACAAGAGAAGTGAAAGGGCAGGGGAAAGAAAGTGAAGGAAGCGAGGCAATTGGATAAATCGGAAGGAAGAAAAAGGATAAAGCAGGAAGAGAGTGACTCTGCTGGAAGACTTGATGATTGTTATGTAAGACAAACTCTCATCAACTCTCACTTGCCTGCTCCCACCTGACAGCTCTGAAGACAATGTGAGGAAAGGTCTTAAAACACAGATTAGCCCTTCACTTCCTCGTCTGGTTATCCTGTTACTCATCTTGTACTCGCACCCACTGACGTTTCCTGTCTGCCTTTCTCGCTTCTCCCTCTTCTCCCTCTTTTCCCTCTTCTCCTCTGCCAGGGTCACTCTGACCTTGATGATGTCTGAGAGGGAGTTAAAAGCGAGAGGAGGCATGCTTTACAAAAAAAACCCCAGCCAAAATAAGTGGGGAAAAAAAGGCACAAGGATCTGGGTGGAAATGAGAGGAAAGAGAACAGCAGCATCCTATTCACTGCAGCATATGCCTCCAGTCTAGAGTATAACAGGCTATTTTTAGACACAGATGGATATTTTTGTATCTGTGCTAGCAAAGAAGGAGGTAGAAAATTCACTCTTTGGTTAAATCCCTTTTTGAGATGAGGATTAGGCAGTGAAATGTAAGAGCCTGTGCGCACTATACTGCATGCGCTGCAAGTACACACGTGTGTGATGATGCTAAATATTCATGGGGACCTGAGGCTGAGAGGGAAAATCAGTGAGAGACACTGCGAGACAGTGAAATGAGACAGAAGACAGGGGATAAATGAGTCAGAGGAAAAACAACAGAGGTTTAATTGACTGAAATGAGACATGTCAATAGTTTTTCCAATGCTGACGCACTAGACGTTTCACAAGACTAACAGCTGGTTTGCGCATGAATCTGAAATAATACAAAAATACCAGAATAATCTGAATGAATGTTTTAGCCATTCTGATTTGACTGGCTGAGTCGTCAGTTTTGTTTATTCAAAGTGCAAGAAGATGACGCAAGTGTGCATTGTATGTTTTTTTACAGCCTAGACGTCGTCTGATGACGACAAAAAATATAAGCACAAAGACTCATTGTGTCAGTGTTTACCCATTTGAATACTCTGTGACGTAAACTCAGCAGCTGTAGAGAAATGATCATGTTTGACCATGAAATGATTACATTTCATTCTACTTTGCAAAAAGGAAAATACAAAATGTTGCCTTCTAATAGCAAAAGACCAGTTCTCATTTTTATTTAAAAAGAAACTGTAGATGATGAACGCATGAGAGCTTATTACATCAATCCCTTCCTTTGCCCTCCTACATTTCTCAGCTCATTTAACACACTGGATGGCAGTGTGGCTGAAACAGGATTATATTTGACCTCAAAGTCTTCATTAAAAAAGCAAATGCAGTGTCCACTGTATTTAATATTTAGCAAAAATCTATTTATATGTTATTATTATGATTCTGTGTATGACTCCGGCAAAATGGTGCCCCAATAATCCTTGGATATCTTCTCCTGAGATGTTGTTGTATGTAGTGTGTAAGCAGTTATGTAAATGTGTAAAGTGTGTCTGTGTGAGTGAGCAAGGGTGAGGGAGAAGGATAAAGCCAGAGAGAGAGAGAAAGAGGGGGAAATGGATCTCATGCCCGTGCACACTATAGTCTGACATTATGAGAGCTGACGGCTCCTGTGTCTGACGTCTGATGTGTTCTGAAGTTCACAATGAGCCTCCGGTGAGAGGCTGGATGAATCATCCGCAGAACAACACAGAGGAGCCGCAGAGATATTGAATGGGAGCGAGATGTGAAACGACTTCGGCGCGAATGTGTTTGTTAAAATAGCAGAGAATAGACAAGGTCGAACAGGAGAGGGAAATAAGGATGTTCATTAGTGTCGCAATGGCCGCCAGTGAAGTTACCTCAGGAGTGAATGCTGCTGGTAAAAACCTGAAATGAGGCTTTATACTGTGTGTTGTGGTTTGTAGTTTTAGACAGTGGTTGAAGAAGTACTCAGATGTTTAAAGTCTAAGAGTGCTTTGTTTATTGTTAAATGTGTTGGATGTTTCAGTTTCACCGTGCAGAAAGATGTGTGCAGTTTAACACTAGAAGGCTGTTTTAAAATGAATCCACTAAAGGGAGACAGGTTCTTTGTACTCACCTCAAACTTTAAAATGTGTATGTACAAGCAGAGTTTGGAAGCCAACCATGGGTCAGTATGCAACTTACTTACAAGTATGATACATAAACTTGAAACCTTTCAGTACACATACACTGAAAATGTACTTTTCAGTGAAGTAGGAGAAGTAATGAGGGAGAAGGAGTAGATGTTATTTAAAGCATTTTCAATAAGGTAATTAAAATGTTTATATGTCATAAAACATGTCTGGAGGGGATCTTTAGCTTAAGTAAAAGTAGCAATACTACAAAATAAAAGTACTCAATATCAGCAAAATGTACTTAAAGTGAAAACAGAGTAGAGTTTTATATTATTATTACAAAGATGCAGCATTTTAATGTTGTAGTTGGTAATTTTAACCACTTTTATATTACATTCGGTGCATTAAAGGTATAACAAAGACTTGAATTGTTATAAGCTGATCATATTTTTTTGTAAATCTACAAAGTAAACATAGCTGTACAATAAAGTACTTGCTTTCCACCTCTATTTTTAGGTGTTGAATCTTTAGAGACACTCACCTCTTCAGACATAGTACTTTACAATAAATGTGTGTGTGCATGGTGTGTGTGTGTGTGTGCGTATGTGTGTGTGTGTGTGTGTGTGTGTGGATGAGAGAGACTAGGAGAGAGTGTTTGCATTTGCACGTGTTCGTTTGCATCCTCTGTGTTTCAGAATCCATGTGTCATTTTTCTTGCACATTTTGCCTTTGATCTGACTCTATGCCCTTCAAGCTTAATATGACTTTGTGACGCATCTACATGTGTTCGCGTGCGTGTATGTGTGTGTGTGAGGAGTAGATGCTAGGGGAAGAGTGGGGAGAGATGTGGGAGAGTATGGGGTGAAAAGAGAGAGCGTGTGTTATATTTTTAGCTCCACAGCCCCACATCCGTGTGTGTTTAATCAAGTGTGTGTGTGTGTGTGTGTGTGTGTGTGTGTGTGTGTGTATGTGCATGTTTGGATTAATGTCTCCAGCGTCTCGCTCAGGGGAAGGTAATATGCTTGTCCGAACGAGCTTCTTCTGTCACATTCGCGTAGATGGTTTAAAACTGTGGAGTGAGCGAGAGTGGGGGAGAGAGTGAAGGAAAAAGAGCAGGAGACAGACAGACAGACAGAGTGAGAGAGAAGGAGGGACAGAGCAATAGAGGGAGGGAGAGAGGGTAGAGGGGAGGGAGGCAGGAGAGACACTGTAGGAGAGAGGATGGAATAAATAAGCAATCTTGCTTTCTCTACTCCTGGCGCTTGCATCTCGCTCTGATCACATGCATGCTTCCTCTCTCTCGCTTATCTTTGTGTCGTTCCGATCTGTCCTTTGTTCTTGTTTACATATTTCCTCCTTTGTCTCAGTGTCCCTCCCCTCGTACCTCCCAGCGTCCTTGCCTCTAGGTCCTCCCTGTACACTCCCTCGTCCTCTCCCTCCTATCTCCTCTACCTCCTATGATATCTCTGCTCCTCTCCCTGCCTTTTCCCAAATGTCCTCTTATATTAGTCAATGACCCACTGAACCCCTTTTCCCTTTCTAATCACTCCTATCCCCATGCATGCCCGGAAACATATGCAAACACACATGCATACATGTACATCTACAAACAGGCACACCAACACAGTCACAGTTAGAGAGAAAACATAAAACAAGAAGGATTTTTTTTTTCTTTTGCAATGGGCAACTCTGTAAAGTCGCTTAAAATTTTCACCAAGAAGGTAAGGTCCGCTCTGAGGTTTTTCACTCTGCTGTGGTCTCCTTGAATCCCGTGACTGTTGGTGCATGTTGTCTCATGGTATGTCCCCAACCTGACCGAAGGCTATTTGACTGGACCTGTGCTGACTGAACCCTGCGTGCTGTCTGGGTGTTCACTAACAGGCTGTCTTGAACTGTTTCCCTGTTTTGTGTGGCTGTGGAGTCCAAGCACATGGGAGAATAATAGAAGAGTGTTTCAAGATGAAGCTTGTGTCTCATGCTGTAGTTTCACTCAATGTTTGCCAACACAGGAGTTTATTATCTTGATTATTGATTAGGACTGTTGACTTTCTTTAAAACTCATTCTGCATGATCTGTACCGATTTCAGTAATATAACATTTGCATCTTATATTCCTTTTTAAATTTAACTTCCCCCTGTGCTCATTAGTGCATGTTTGCATTCCCACGAAAGCCTTTTAGACCGAGGTCAGAGGAGATGGTTGGTGCTGCTTGTGCTTAACCTGTTGGCTGAGGTGAAGTCAGTGGATTTGGACCACAGCACCAAACGTTAGTCACTCAAATCACACTGTGATGCCACCTAACCTGCACCCGGGGATGTAACCAGTCAGTGGGAATGTTGTAAACAGGTGTGGTGTTTCAACTACGTCAGATGTTATTAGCTCAAATGCACCACTGGCATTGAATCTTTTAGACAGCAACATAAGGGCAAGATTGAGGAACAACAAAGAAGAAACATTCAGAACCATTTTGGCAAAGGCTCAAAAAGATGACCTTTGTTCGTAAAATACATCTCTTGCATCTGCTGCCGTCTTTGTATCAGTGTATGCTTGAACAGACTCTCAGTATATTCCCACAAATAGATTAATTCCTTCACATCAACAGCTGCACATCCTTGAGGAAGCACAATATGACAAGCAACTGTTGATGCCATCTGTGCAAAACGGGTTGGAGTGCTGGAGAAGTTCTTGCTTGACTTCAGCTTTTCTCTGACACTGTTTCAGGATTTTTTTCATTTTCTATTTTTGGTTATATAACTGCTAGCGCGTGGCTTCATAGTACTTTTCTGGCACGATATACCCACAGACAGCCCTGCTCCATGCATCACTTGGTCAGATTACCCAGTGGGCATCCGTTCCTGTGGTGTGGACTGTAGTAATGCATGAACTGGCATTAGGACTGGCGTGGTAACAGATGGAGTGTGAAGGTCATTTGTAGAGCATATAATACTGTGTATATTTGCATGTAGTAGTAGATGTCTTATGTTTACTGTAAAAAGCATGCGAAGGCAGGAACTAGCTCATGTCTGAGAGATTTAAAGCAGCAGCAAAAACGGTCCCTTGGTAATTTGCTGTGACAGTGAGTCCACTCTGCTCGCTTTTAGCTGGGTTTTCCTCCACTGAGTTGGATATCACTACAGTAATTGCAGACTTGACCAACATTATCATGTTTTATTAGCAAGAGGAGATGTTACTGCTTTAAACTTAGTTCATCCGCTTGAAAATTCGCAGTAGATAGTCACAGAGCATGAAAACAGAGTGCCTTTTCCATCTCTTGTGTTCTGCCTTTAGCCTCCGATTAGGCTGCTACTCTCTTATTCAAATATTAGTCAGAGCAGTGGTTGGACCTTATTTGACTTTATTCAGAGGAAGCTTTTTTTGTCCACTGGTAGGCATAGATTGCCCAATTTTAATTAACCTGTAGCTCTCTCTGTAATTGGGATCACTGCTGTGAGAATAACTTTTGCCCCCTGGCTAATTGGTGATTATAATTAAAATGGCTGGCTGAACTTTAGCCTCATCTTCTGGACAACATAATTATTTTGTAAAGTGCAGAAAAACAATTGTCAATCTTGGTCAAGTAGCCATCCCTGCATGACTGTTGTTGAATGTAACTACTGTTTACATTATTACTAACACATTTAGACTGTATTATTAGTTAGAATCATAATGCTGTCAGTTAATCGTGTACTTATAACGTACCACTTACTTCTGACAAATTGGGTATTGGAGGACTATTACAGTTTGTAAATTTGAGGACACAGCAACATTTTACAGTTTAGTCAGTTGATTGAAACCACTTTATTTGCAGATAACATGGAAATGTTGGTAATAATCCCTCATTGCACAGGATAAATATGTGCGCCCAAAAATAGCAATTACATTAAACTTGGATTGGGAAGATGGTGTGTAATCTCTGATCAATGTTTACAACATACAGTGAATGATGACTGAGGTAATGAAAACAAATTGGCTCACTGCTTGTTTCTCTCACTCCATCTTACTTTTTTTGCAGTGATGTTGCTGTTTTCTCTGATTAAAGCAGTTTATTTGGTGTGTAAATTGTATCATAATTGCAAGAAAGGATGGTCAAAACTACAAAACTAAGATAATATTTTGGAATAAACTGTAATTAGTCTTTAAGGCAAGAAAATGCACAGCTGAAGACTGTAAAAAAAAAAGATCAAAGAGCTGTGACGCAAGGCTGTCAGTGCTGTGTGACATGAAAAAAAGGCTTTCTCCACCATTGACATAATCACATGATATGGAGGCTTGGTAGTCTTCTGTTGTGCTGGATTGTGACCTATAGGACAGATTCATGGATGGCATCAGTTGCTCTTGTCATAATGAATTACAACCTCTTCCCTCTGGCTGAGGTGCTTTCCTTCATCATGACTGACCTGACTCTACACCTCTCTATGACTGACAGGCATATGTCTGTCACCTCTGATCCTGCTTCTGAACCCCCTCCCTCCCTCCATCACACCTCCTTGCTGACTCCATGCTGCCACAATCTGAGTCTCCGTCTCTACCCCTGTCTTTGCCCTTGCTCCCATGTCTGGCCCCCCTGCTCTGGATGCTGCTCCAGGACCAGAAGAAGAACTACAAAGCAGTGCAGTCCTGTGAGGAGGGGGGCTCTGGGGGGGCCTATCTTGAGCCGCTAGTGGCCCTGGCCCAGAACGGAGCCAACATGCACAACGTACTGGGGCCTGCATGCATCTTTCTACGCAAGGGCTTCGCTGAGAGCCGGCAGGCTGTACGTAAGTCCAGACAATATCACGTGCATGCATACCGTGAGATTAGCACACAATGCAGTACATGCACAATAACAGAAACGTGTGTTGAATGTGTGTAGTAATCATCTCTTATTGTAATGTCAGCACTCACAGCATGTAAATAAGCGTGGTGGAACGAAGAAGAGTTTTCTTGATAACTAAAATGTTGAATTCAAGAGTGTGTGTGTGTGTGTGTGTGTGTGTGTGTGTGTGTGTGTGTATTTATGCATGAGGCTGCATCACTCATGAACCTGGTGGATATCTGTTGCAGGTTGGGGGATTATTGAAGCAGGGTTATGGTGGTGGTGGAAATGTTCCTCACATGATGATTATTCCTCTTTGTCTAATTTCCAGCAGTGATAGTGCGAGTCAGGGTGTTGTTTTTAAAGGAAACAATAATGTTGAAATCCTCAGTGCAGATGCTGTTTTATTGATTGTTCTGATGACAAGCTCTCATATGGCTGTGCTTAATGTATGCAGGGGTTGAGATTGAGTCGTTTTAAATCAATGGACTGGCAAATAAGAGAATTGTTGCATACTTTTCATTGTATCTGCATCTCCACACTTTTTGAAATGCAAGTACTTATAAAAATATAAATTAATTTTACATACACACCCACCAGATACAGTGAATGGTTCAGATTCCTCTTTACAGAAACAAATGTTAGATCTTGTATTTTAACTTGTTTCCGCTATCTTACTTTCATCTCATTACCTACTGTGTAATATTTTCTCAGTGCCAAGAGTCTGTATGTTTTCTTCAGCAGGGGATTTCACCGATGAGCTTCTCCTCTCTGGATGGAAGGAAACCTGCAGACTCTTGGCACTCTGTGGCACAAACCTGCAGTTGTCTATTTATTTTTGTTACAGCATCATATTGTGTGAGGGATGCTGCATATTGGCATGATTTTAAACATATCAGCAGTGTTTGGATCCTAACAATGCACTGTGATCCTTCACAGGACCGAGAGTTGAGGCCCGAAGAAATGGATGGTAGGTTACATTTCAGGAAAAGTGACAATACAACTGTATTTTCCACATCTTCCCTTTATTTTTAATACCATATCTCCCTCGCTCTCAGAGTTGCGCGAGGCATTCAAGGAGTTTGACAAGGACAAAGATGGGTTTATCGGCTGTAAAGACCTGGGGAACTGCATGAGAACAATGGGCTACATGCCAACAGAGATGGAGCTAATTGAACTGAGCCAGCAGATCAACATGAATCGTAAGTAAAACTGTCTGTGTGTACAAATTATTTCCTGCAGGGTTTGTTTTCTCAATTTTTCTGGCAAACCTTCAGAATCAATACTTTAACAGCCACTTTAAAACAGTACTTATGCTTCAGAATCACTTATCATCAGATCATAGAGAACAAATAAAACATATATAAATACCCTGAGCAGCCTGGTTAACCCTGCTTTCTCTTTACAATCTGTCCAACAGTGGGAGGACATGTTGACTTTGAGGACTTTGTTGAACTCATGGGGCCCAAACTTCTGGCTGAAACTGCAGACATGATTGGGGTTAAAGAGCTGAGAGATGCATTCAAAGAGGTGAGGAAAGACAAAATAATTTCCCAAATGGATGAAAATGTTGTTGTTGGTATGTCTGAGTAAAATGTATTAATTGATATGTGTAGTTTATCTCAGAGTGTTAAACAAAGAGTTAACGTCAGATAAAAGGGACAATATTCTTGAGGATGTTTTGCAGCTATTTTGGTAGTTTAGTGATCCTGATAGTGGTTGATATGAGCCTGGGAATATATGTAAGACAAAGGGAAATGCTTTGTCTGTTTTATTCACTTGTATCTTCTTCTCTCATTCTCAGTTTGACACTAATGGTGACGGCCAGATCAGCACAGCAGAACTCAGAGAAGCAATGAAAAAACTTTTAGGACAACAGGTACCGAGTTGCTGGGAGAGTCTGTCTTCCTGTCTGTAGCTTTCCATCAATCATGGTGTCTGTCTGAATCTTGTCTGTTTACTCCACTGAGTCTGTGCTGCAGACATTCACACCTTGCCCCCAAAACCTGACTTTTTCAGGTTGGACACAGAGATCTGGAGGACATTTTACGAGACATTGACCTCAACGGAGATGGGCATGTAGACTTTGAAGGTATGTGAGAGTTTACATCACAACATTTTTCACTGCATGCAGAACCTGGAAATCAAATATGCTTACACAATATATTTCTATTTCCATCATTCTGACTCTCTCCTAAACACACATGCACACACATTTATTTTAAGTATAAGCAAAAATCCCAACATGTGTGTTGCTGATATCCCAATACCATGCTGATAGTGAGGTGAGGGAATGAAGGGAGTAGGTCTGCCTGTCAGATTATCTCCACACCCAGGGATTATCGCACCTCATAGATTACCCACAGAGAAAAAGATGCATACATGGTGTCAGGGATATATCAGAAAGTGCTGCTGTTCTTAGTAACACAACTGTACTTGCTTATACTTACTTAACATAACTTCACATTTTCCTGCATTTTACATGCAACCCATCAGTGATAATGTCCATGAAACATCTGATTTAGCAAGACTAAAAAATAAAGATCATGGTTTGATTAATTTGACTTCTGAGATCCAATGTGTGGCAGAAAAGAACAACCAACAGTGAAATGCCTACAAGTTAATGCATAAGTGAGGAATTTGGGTTGGATCTATCTACTGTATTACACTGAATGTCAATGGACAATATTTTAAGGAAAAAAATAGGAACTAACTTTGAATTATTCAAATGTTGAATTTACTTGCATTAAAACAGTAGTGAGTTTCAAGCAGCCCTCTATATGTTTTTCAGTCATGCATTAATGCAAGGCTTTATGTGGAGTAATGGTCCTAGAAAGAGCAGATGTGAGTTATAAACTTAAAGAGAGTATAGCTATAAATATTAAATTATACTCAAAAAGTGATGCCTGATCCTGCCCAGTGACAGATCCGACAGTGCAGCTTACTACTATGGTTAGCATTAGCATGTAGACAGTTAGGCTGTGTCTAATTCCGCATACTTCCGTCAGTACACTGCTAATGTGCACTGACCACTTACTGCTGTAGTACCCACTTTCAATGATTAGTATTGTCCCAAAAGGAACACTTATATTAAAACACTTACCGGAAAATTACGAGCAGGATGAGCGTGACGAACGTGACAAACACAAAACACGTGAACGCGATTTTCCAGTCCGCCAAAAATATATGGCGGCTTTTGTTTACAAACATTTTTCTGCACGTTCACAGCATGTGTAAACTTCGTCGCCTCCGACGCCAACGTTAACTCGCCAAATAATTATGTCCGCTTCAGTCAGTGAGGGACACGTAAGTGATGCATTAGACAACAGTACAATGTCTCGTATTACCACCATTACTTACATTTATACACTTGAGGTGTCGAACTTGTCGTCGCAGCTCCGGCTGCCTCGGCTGAGTTGTCCGCCATTATTTAAAATTTTGAAAAACTTCCGCTTTGTAGTCAAGATGGTGTCCGTTCAGTGCGAGTAGGGTCCATCATTCCACACTGAATTTTTTGACCGTTTTTAGGGGATCATCCGGGTACTTTCAGTGCACTGACTTTTTGTGTTATCTACACTATACACTTAAAACTAAGTGTTTGAAGTGTGCAAGTAGGCGGAATGAGACACAGCCTTAGTCTTTGGTCACTTCGGGGCAACAAACACAACAATCACAACATTGACATACAGCACTGTATATAACATGGTGAATGTGTTAGAAAACAGCTCTTAAAGCTAGCAGTTTTAGCTCTGCGTTTGGTCTCTACCAGCTCCTGAGGAAAATGTTCTGGTTCCACTGCTGTATGTTCGCCAGCTGTTTGCTAACGGTGCCAGTCTGTTGTTCAGTGCAAGGCAGCATACAGACGGTTTTTAAAGCTTTTTCGCTGAAAACAGCTGCATGCTGCATCTGGAAACAACTCTGAGAGAGTGAACAAAAAACAGTTTAAAGATGGAAGTTGGAAAGCCAAAACAATTAGCTAAAATATGCTTAAATGCTCAGCAGAGTTTAGGGGAACTGCAGAGTTGAGAAATAATTCTTTCAGCTTTGTTGTTGTTTTTTTTGTTTTTTTTTATTTTGTTGTTGTTGTTTTTTTTTTTTTACCAAAACTAATTATAAAGCATTTGTACAAAAGTAAGGAATTTGTTGTTGGCTCGAAGCCCAGTTTATGTTCTACTGAGTTAATGAAACTCTCTTTAGTAAAATAAATAGAAATACATGGTTTTGAACTTGAGTCATGCTTATCCAGTAGTGCAAAATCTCTGGTGATCAGAAACATTCTTTTTGTAAGAATGGAAACTTGTGTTTAGCCCTGGGCTGGGAAATAGGTCACTAATGCTCAGAAAGGACCTTTCACCTTTTCCACCCACCCACCAATACCACGATAGCAAGTGTACAAACCACAGATAGCATGATGCAGATCCTATATATTAAGTGGCATCATACATATCAGTTTGTTGAAGATTTATTCTTTAATTAATGCCCTTGTAAAAAACAATTAGTCCTTTTCTGTAATTCACAGAGTTTGTGCGGATGATGTCTCGATGAATTCGACATGCAAAAACACAACATGGATTCTCTGTTGGTATGGGAGGAAGAGGAGAGAGATCAGCACAGATGAATCTTGAACTTCTGGACTGTCAATGAACACGAAAACACACACATATCAACCCTGCCCTGAAACTGCCATGCTGGAGCACAAAGGCTGACGACTACAGCCAGGAGCAACACTGTTGATTATATGCTGCTGCTGTTTCTTAAAACATAAACAAAACCAACAGCTGCATTTCTGTCTTTTACAAAGTATATTTTAAAAAGCATATTTTCCTTTAGTAATAACAACATTTCTAATGATGATGTGGCTCTTGACTCAATGGGTAAATGGTAATGGGAGGTATTTTGCTCAAATACTAAACTATGTTAATAACTGTAGCAATTAAGAAGACATATTTTCAACTACAGCAGTATGCCAGCAAACACCTGAACCACTACAATATATTCTTTTTTTTTAATGCTGAGGGCATCTTAAGCACAAATACAATATGGCAATATGGAAATATTTCATGTGATCCTGTCAAAGCTGTGTGTTTGTGTTTTGTGCATACTGTTGTTTCTCTCTGCCCTATGCTGTAGATTTATTATGTCCCTTAAGACTATTGTCAAACCCTGGTTAAGGCAAGCCAAAATTTGTTTTGTAATTATGTGTAATGTAGCATTGATGCAATTCTTCTGACTTTAATAACATTATGCCTATCTTACTGTGATATATATGTCATTTTCAGTGTGCATAAAACTCCTTCAACTGGAAAAATCCTTGAAGGAAATTCTCTCTAGGTACAATGAGTTGCTAATCTTGACTACTGTGATAGGCCTTTTAACAACATGTATGTTTTACTAATTCTGAATATTACTGATCATCCATATCTCACACAGGTAGGTGATCAACAGAGTGTTAAAACTATACATGAAAGAGAGATTCTGTTAATGCTTTAATTTTTATCAGAGAGCTTTGATAAATGTACTTGTTTATTGGGGTTTTGTGAGTCTACTTGAGTCTAACAAACAGTCCTGAAGTGATTTTCACTTTGGTGCAACATTTACACTTCTAACTTTAATACCTCAAAATTAATTATACAATCAGCCTCATCCATAAACGGCCCCCATAGCATAATCTCTAATACCAATTTATTTACCCTCTTACCTTTATTATCTCTATTTGTAAAGAAGCACCATCCGCTTCTTTACGCATAAAAGCCAAAGAAAGTTTACAAAAATATTATTTGAGTCTTATTCAGTGTAGTAATTGTATGCAGTATGTTTTAGAAATATAATCCACTGGATTATATTTTCAAAACGGCTGCTTGAAATGCTGACTGTTTCCCGGGGCAGCTAAATTATTGGTTGACTGTTCATAAATGGACAAGGAGGTATATGCATGCTAAAAAGTTAAGATATTCTTCTAAAGGGAAATCTTTCTTTGTGATTTTACTTGTCTTAACTGTGTGAAACTATGCATGCAAGAAATAACTGAAATTTGTAGCAGAATATATAAAAAATAAAGTTTTTTTTCAGAACTTGAGAACAGAAGCCATGTCAAAGCATGGTGTGTGTTGTCTTGTATTAACAGTGCTGTGAAGACTTCAATCCACATTATTGGGAACAAAAAGCAGGTCAAACAATGTCAGCCAAATCCTTTATATTTTTTTTTAGGTTAGGGTTTTTGGTATTAAAAAGTAATTGCAATTCTCTACTAATTAACAACAGAAAAAGTAATTAATTACAAATACTCCATCAAAGGTCTGTAGCTTCCAACAACTTCAGAGCTTCAACGTGCACTTTCTCTGTGTTTAACACATATAGCAAAAGAAAACAAGATGCTGTGGTTTAACAACCAGTCAGCCTACAGTTTAGTGGTATTTATTGACCCATCAACAGCTAGCATGGACCTGATGGGGTTCACACACCCTCCAACTCACAAACCCAAATCCTGAATGTAGGCTTACCAGTGACGAGCCAGCCAGCTATACAGCGTGTAATAGAGTAACCACAAGGTGGAGGCTAACCACCTCCATCCCCTTCAACTAATTCAGCTAATACCTCCCAGTCTATCCACTGAGCCCACAGAAATTTAACTGACCCCCAAAACATCAAAGTAAGAGACCTGGTGGCTGCAAATGCCATAGCATATAATTCAGGGTATATTATAGATATTAACACCATGTAAATTGCAAGTTTAAAGTTCTATAGTATAACTTAACATAATTTAACAACACATGCCTTAACAGAAAATAAGGTTTTGAGTAAAGTGTGGAAACTGGTTTGATTAATCCTGTGCGAGGCAAGGAAGGAGGAGTTGGTTGGAAATTATTTGGAAATAACACCATGAGAAGTCTATGAAAATAGACAGGTTTAATTCCCACACAGCAGACATCTGGGAGAATTGAGCAAAACTTTGAAACCTCTGCTTAAGTAGATCAAAATAAACTGGAACCTCCTATAACAATATTTGGATTGATGGAGAAAATTGAGCGCTTCTCAAATCCAGCAAAGTACAGACAAGACAGAATCAGATGTTGTGATTCAAAAGCCAAAAGGAGCATCATCAAACATGTCAGTGTAGTTTATCAAAATAAATAACTCCTTGAAATGTGGACTGAGGCTCATAACAACAAATAAAGATGGTCACAGATACAATTCTGACATTTACAAAAAGCTGCGTAAGTAGCATTACTGTCTGTAATATTGTAAACATGCATTATAAACACGCAGGCCTTTCTCTACTGACTAATTTGCCAACTTGGCTTTTAACAGAAATAACACATTAAAGGCCATCTTCACTCTCTCATAAAACCAAAATGCATTTTTCAGAGTGAATAAAGTCTTAATAATAGAGGACGAAATGGATACAATGTATAATATTATAAAGGCAATACACACAGAGATGTAGAATTTTTGAGAATTTCCCTATTGGGGATTAGTTAATCTTAAAATGATCATCATTGATTACTCTGTACATTAAAAATAAGGAAACTGTGTAAACACTGTTCATTTTGTTCATTTCTTTTGGGTACAGTAGATCAGTGGCTCCCAACCTGAATGTCAGGACCCCCACTAGGGGTCCCCAAAGCTTTACAAGGGGTTGCGAGGTATTCTTGATTTTAAGGGATGTAAGAACATTTTCAAAAATGTACACAGTACGCCTATATCTCAGCTTTGAGCTAATTTGTGTGAAAACTAAAGTAAGTTTTGTTTTTGTTTTTAGATTATTATTTAAGATGTAAACTTTGAAGCCCTGAACAGAAGCTATATAGACTCTCTTCTAAACAGCCTAGTCATGCATTAGAAGAGTTAAAACAATCAAAAAGCTAATAGAACAATAAGGGGAAATTTGTTCAAAAAAGAAGCCTATTTAGTATGTATGATTGGTAAAAAATTAGAAAAACACACAATATAGACAGAGAATTGTATAAAAAGTCCCCTAAACAGGAAATAAACTGGTCAGAATTTATCCAAATCACTCATTTTAAACAAACTTCCTGCTGTTACCGAGTTCATTTTTGGGGTTAATTGCACAGTTTTTAATATAATATGAAATATGTCAATTACTCAGGGGTCGTCAGTTTACTAAATGATAGAAAACATTTGTTTATTGTTTTTTTCCCTCTTTTTTTTGCATGAGTAGCAATCTGGCAGTGTGCACATTGTTCTGTAAACTGGGATGGGGGGGGAGCTAATTACTTCCCACAATATGGAACATTTTTATACATTTTATTATCCTTTTTATTAACCATGTTAATATGTTATTGATGGATACTATTATAATGTTTACATTTTCCAGTGTGAATGCATTAAACAAGCTCAGATTTACTGCCCAGCCCACAGTGCAGTGACAGCGGCCCTCATTGGCCACTTGTTGCCATGACGACTCTAAACAACTCTGTCTGCGGGTTGTTGTATTAGCATGATGCTAAACGCCCGTAAAGCCAGCACCACAGTGCCAGCGTGTCCCTGTGCTCTCCAGATGGAGAACTACCCGACCGTCTGTCACCTCAGTCCTCCTCCGGCTCAGGACTGCCGTTAAATCCGGAGGACGGTAAGAGCCGTTACCGGGGCCGTTACCCACTAACTAACGTTAGCTGGTTAACTCATTATTAGCCGTTAGCCGGGGGTCGAAGGGAGCTTCATTAACATAACATCTCCCTTGTATGTTAGCAAGTTACCGAAGTTGTCGTTAAACTCCTCAATAATAACTTAACGGGAAATAGATGTCAAACTGGGATGTGTCCCATTAACGTTGCTGCTGATTCAAATTCACTCGGTAACGTTAAATAAATAATGACGATGTTTAAAATCGTTGTTCCTAGATATTAATTAAGCTGAATAATGATCACTTACTGCACTGAATTAACTCTAAAGCAACGTCAACACAGCTAGCGTTGGTATTTTTGTGTCCCTTCTGACCTTTTTCACAGCAGGCATTTTGACATGAAATAATAGGGTAAGCACAGGTGTTACCAATTAACTTATACTGAGTAAGGCTCTGTTCCATTTAGTGTAGCAGAGCCTTTCCAGTGAGCCAACAGCAGCACCCTGAATGGAAGAAACCTTAATTAGTGTGTAAACACCTGGCTGTCAATTATTTAATTCATAGATACTCACAGTATTTTATATCTGGACATTGCCTCACTGTATGCTTTAACTGTAGCCCAGGATGCTTGAATATATCAGTTATATGTCAATATAATAGTACAATAATAATAATTTATGAATAAAATATGTAGGTGCCTAACATATATATTAGCCGTCTGTAAAGTATGATGTTGCTCAAAAGGTAATTTCACATCATACACAGGGGATTATGGAGTTTCTATTTGTTATTAATATTTTGTGGTGTCTTTTTCAGGCGCAGACAAGGAGTCATTCCTGATGTACATTTCACCGTCTTCAGACACCGGGGCTTCAAACGGACCAGAAGACCTGCCCTAAAGCTGTGGGTTTCCTTGTGGTGTACAGTCTCTTTGCTCCCCGTTTCTCCTCCGCTGTTGGGCAGCATGACTTGGTTTACTTCCCCTGCTGACAACCTGCTGTGCAGGTGTCTTGGCATCTCCATCATGGTGTGGTTTACTCTTCTGTTTGTCTTCATAATTGTGCCGGCTGTACTTGGAGTCTCTCTTGGTATCCGCAGACTTTACATCGTGACACTTCTCAAGGTCTTTGAGGTAAGTTTGGTGTCTATTTAATTCACATTTTTAAAAGGTACAAAATCAAACTCTTTGGTTTATTTCTTATTGCTTTTTGGAAGAAATATCTGATCTCTAAACTAGAACAATATTAATTTTATTTTACATTGTTAATCTCAATTATTTGTTAAATGTATTCCCTGTCGGATGCAGCCCCTGGGTTCTCCCAGCACAGAGGGACTGTTAGAAGCACAGGGCATGATGTTGCCTCCCTTTCCTCAGGGACTGAGGTTTTGGGAAAGACTCCTGGGTGGAACAAGCTTTCAACCATGGGAATACCATCTGAGGTGGAGTACATACTGCAGGGAGCTGAGACTCCTGGGACACAGTCCATCTACTGGCATAGTTGGATGGTTTTTGAAATGTGGTACAAGGACAAGGCAGTTCTCCTTACAAGCTCAGCCCCTGAGCCCCTACAGTTTCTGTCTGTTGGATTCAGACCTCCCTTTCTACACTCAGGATAATGTTAGTCACAATTAAAGCTGAACAAATTGCTTTCCCAATTTGTTGAAGGTTGTAAGACAGTTGAAGGCAGTTGTACCACCTTTGCAGTTGGTTCTCGGGGCCCTGGATAAGGCCCCGTTTGAGCTACCTGAGCTGGTCAGTCTGAAGTGGATGTCAATCAAAACCGCCTTTCTGCAGGCTTTTGCGGAGAGGGTGGGAGGAGCTGTAGACTCTTGATCCGTCAGAAACCTGCATTGTGCATGTTCCTGTGTGAGGGGATGTACATCCTCTCTGGCTGCTTTATCCAGTCAGTGCTCCAACAATGTGCACGTGAGCCAAGAAAAAAGCTGGCCAGCCATATGTTTGTTTCATCTCAGAGAGCTTAAAGTCCAGGCTTTCCCACGGGACTGTATATGGAACTGGTATTCCACTGCCTTCATGTGTGTTCAAATTTCATGTGACAGCAATCATGGCAGTTGTGAAGCACTGCCATTCTGTTGACATATGTGGCTTTGCTATTCAGTGTGTACCATCTATTCTCCATGGTTCGACTGTCTTAATTTAGCTCTTGATACCTCGTTCAGGGATTAGTTGTGAACAGGAAGCTTTGTGTCGGGCAGTCTGGCTTAGGGGCCTCTCCCCACTTCCAAATCAGTCTTAGCATCTTGCAACGCTGGCAAACCCTCTGTAGTGTCTATCATCTGGGCTCCATGCAGCAGGTCAGAGAGTACTTGTTAGCATAGGAGTGCGTTTATGTACTGATTGTGAATAGTTTGTTTTCCGTGGGCTAAACAATGCAGAAATGTTTACTTGTTTACACACCAGGTGTAAAAAAAACCTCTCTCCTGGTCAAGGTGGCGCAAGGGCCTGATCCATCAAAATTATGACTTACTTACGCTCGTC